TAAATTGTGTATCTAGTTGTAAAATCTGAGGGGATTACTTCACCGGAGATTGAGGTAGTAGCCCCAAAAACTACCATCTCAGAGGTATACATATAGTCTGAGTTTATAATAAAAGTGAATAAAAAAAAGATCATATTTTTTGTGAGATGATAAAAGGTATCTAAATCAAGTGACTCCCTACAAATATTTTATTTTTAAATAAACTATTAAAAAAATACCCTGAAAGAACTCATATTATATTGTATTTTTTCATTTATTTCTTTAAAAAGGCGGTCAAAAGACTTATTTTTTACGCAGCGTCAGCCATATTCTGCTCACCTCACAACCGCTAGACCGTCATCATCCGGTTTTTCAAACTCAACAATGCAATATATCTGTAAAATACCAAATGCGGTTTAATATACTTTATTATTTTGTCACATTCTATTTTTTTACCTTTTTCTAAAATATCTTATCAAATAAAGTACAATTTAAAAATGCACCACGTTTACAAGGTCACAATTGTCACTCACGAGAATCATGAAGATGGAGGAAACAGGAAACAACAATGACAATTGACAATATGACATTGCCAGAAATATACGAAAAAATAACGTAATTATGACGAATTCTAAGTAACGTCTATACTATGTCATCAATGCGACGTCAAATACACGTTACTGATTAGGATATTGTATTTCGGATAAATTAATGCTAAAAAATTACGTCAAAATGACGAATCTGTATTAACGTCTAATTAACGTTGCAAAAACTACGTCAAAGTAACGTCATTAATTGGGATAGTGACGTTTCTGACGAGTAAACCCACAAAATCACGTCATAATGACGGCACCTTGCTGCTTGGAAGGAGCCCACTGCAACAATTGAACTAATGCTTTTTCCATTACATCTAAATGCAGCTTTTTAATGGGAACTTTCTTAAATTAGAAAAATTTTAAACAAAATCCGGTGGTAATGCCATCTGAGAGAATAGGTACCTAATAATCATGACTTCATGAAATACAAAACAAATCAATTTCGTATACAGACGCTTGAAACATATAAAACAGCATAGGAGGATTTATTATGCGAACTTAGAGCCAATTTCGTCATCCTGTGCTTCGCATGTTATAGTTCTTCCTATTAGCTTTTTTTCAATTTTTCAATGTCCTGCACTTCTGTTCGTCCTGTTATAATTATTTCTTCTTCCATTATGTCATTATTTTGTCTCTTATTTTATCTTTGATCTGCTTGCTTTTCTAATTCCTTTTGTTGGTTGTTTACTTCTTTTTTTGCTTCTTGCTCTCGTGATTTGTTTTGTAAGTTTTTGTGTTTTCTCATGATGTCTGCAACTTTTCTCAACTATTGTGCCCATGCTTCAAATCTTACTTGTGTTGTCCTGTGGTCCGTTTCTCTTGTTTGGCTCTCCGCTCGTTTTCTTCTTTTGCTTTCCTGTGGATTTTGCTCTTTGTATCTCTTTTCTTCCCGTCATTAGTCCAAACCTACGGTCACTGGGCAACAGTCTTCCAAGCTCTAGCAACAGCAATAAATGCCTTTGCTTAGTTTATGCTAATGACTCTCTTAGAAATAAGCAAGTGTCTGTATTATGATAGACAGGTAGGAAACCCTTAAAGCACTGATAAGAGTAGAAGTACAACAAAAATTGATATTGAACTTGCAACAATCACTTCATGTATTAAAGACATAATAAAGTATCTTACTCTTAAATCAATATTCAAATTTAAAATAAAATATATCAAATAATATAAACTTCTACTATAATTTATGACATTCAAATTAAAGTAAATATCCATGTGAAATTTAACGAACAGTTATACAGTTTATTAAAAAGTCTACCTACTCATTTAATAAATAATAAAAATGTATACAATATTTGGCAACTTCTATTTTATATGAATGAAAATAAAATCCTATTCTATTATAAATAATTATTACGTATCATAGAGTGTAAAATTATACAACAAAACGTAGGTAATTGGAATTTAAATTCTTTAAAATTATTAAGCGTGATAGAAATATTATTTTAAGCTTATTATAAAAAATAATTATCAATTTTTGTAATTGAAATCCGCATTGTCATAGTTTAGACAAAATCGTACCAGTTTTTTTTCTGTAGGTCAGAAGTAAGGTACCTAACTCGAAAGTACAAAAACTAAAATTAGCTTTCAAATAAAGTGTCCCACTTTCTATCCTGCTAAAGAGCGCTAAAATCAAAAGTAACGTATGTTATGTTATGTTGGAAATGGGGTGCTAATATACTGCATCCTAAAAGATCTATTGTGTCCCCTTCTATCGCCAATGCACTAAGGAAATGTCTCAATGCCTATAACGACTCTTCCAATCCTATTTTCTCAAGGAAGTGTAGGATTTAAAGTGCCTAGGTAAATCTCCTTCTTCTATTTGATATCTTCCTAGATATAGTGCCCTTGGATTCTGGAGTGCTACACATTCAGTTAGGATGTGAATGGAGGTTTCGTCCTCCTCCCAGAATCTGCACTCACTATCCTCTACTACTGTCAGTTTAGTTAGCTGTACTTTTAGTCGGCGATGCCCGGTAAGGATCCCTGTTACAATACGTAGCCTGTTCTTGCTCAGGCAGATGCAGGCTTCCGATCTTTCCTGGTTATATTCACCCAGAAGTATCTTGGCCTGTCTTAGCCCCAAGAGATTGTTCCAATTATCGGTTCTTCTACTGCCCAATTCTTTTTTAATCTCTCCTAATATTATGTTACTGCTGATACCGCAGAACGGCTCAGGTCCTACAAAGGGTGTTTGAGCCCCTTTCCTTGCAAGACTATCTGCAATCTCGTTATCCTGTACCCCGTTATGTCCCGGGACCCAAGTGAGAGTAACTCTATTTTTCTCGCCTAGCTCGTTCAATTGTTCTAGGCAACTCCAGACCATTTTTGAGCTGATTACGTAAGAGCTCAGCGCTTTGATGGCTGTTTGACTATCGGACATGATGATAATCTCTTGTCTATGATAGTTTCTCTCGATGTTAAACTGGATACACTTCTCGATGGCGTGAACTTCCGCCTGGAAGATGCTTGGGTATTTTCCCAAGCTTTCGGAGTGCTTGGTTCTCGGCTCATACACTCCTATTCCAGTTCCTTCTATGGTTTTGAAACCGTCCGTATACCACTGAATAACACGTCTTTCGGTTGCAGGCGTGATGGATTCTTGGCTCCATTCTTTCTTGCAGCCTAGATCTGTGGTTTTGAAGTTTTTCACAAAACTGTACTTCTTTAGCATTTCATCCTGGGGCTTGTCCTAGGTATCTTTAGTCCTAAAGCAAGTAGACTTTCGTCTGATTACTGCGTTCCTGATCATTCTATATCGTGTCCTTTTTGCCACATTCTCTATCATCAAATGTAGAGGGGTGAAGTTTAAGATCACCTCCATTGCGGCCGTAGGACAGGTTCTTATTGCAGCAGTAATGCAAACACAGGCTAGTCGTTGTACTTTTGAGATATTAGGTCTCGTAGTAGTTAAACTAGTTATGTTACTCCAGGCTATAGCCCCGTAAGTGATGATTGGTCTCACTATTGCAGTATACATCCATCGCAGTATGTTTGGGTTACATTCCCATCGTTTGCCTGCAATGTGTCTGCATACCATTAGGGCTTTTGTGGTATTATTTACTACTTTCTTCTAATGTGTATTCCAGAGAAGTTTGTTGTCCAGGGTTAGGCCTAGATATTTGACTTTATTTTTCCATTTTAAAAGTAACGTAATTATTGCTGCGTTTGAATATCCACATCGGATGCATCTGAGATGTTGTGAGTCTTTAATCACGTGATTTAATATACGTAAATGTAGTAGGATAGATGTGTCCAAATTGGATAAACAAACGCTCGAGATGTAAAAAATGCATCGGATATAGATATTCAAACGCAGCAGATGTATCTACACTCGGTACTTTTCATATTTAAACTTTATTGGTTAGAATGACGGAGGTAATGGGAATGACGTATGTCTTAAATATTGACAGTTTCTTTGATAATGGCTCTGGTACATTTTCGTCTAACCATCGTATTTTAATAGTGTTCAATATTTATCCATTGCTAAATATAGCGGCCAATTAGCCTGACATCGTTTTTCATGAAGATATTGGATAGAATGGCTGTGCGAAAGGTACATATGGGATTGTAACAATAACCACAACACTCAAAACACATAAATACACCCCAGGCAGATTTACTGCATGATTCAGCCCTTCACCAATTTGCGGTCCGGCCAGAGAGATTGTTGGACAATAAAAAGTTCGCCTTGAGTGTTTTCCTAGAAATAGAAGGTGCTTTTGTCAAGGCCACCTTCACCAAGATAATACACTCGATCAGGAATGTTCCACAGATGGTTAGTGGAGAGATACAAATAATATGCACTCAAAGCGAGCAGTAAACATAAGTGTAAAAGTTGTGAATATAAGAGACTTGCTTGCGAATGGGTGTCCACAGGTAAATAGGAGTACTATCACCTCTAATGTGGAACAAGGTTTTTGACACTCTCATCGGGAGCCTCAATAATGACAGTCTCTACACAGTAGCATATGCAAATGATCTGGTAATTCTGCAAATAGCGTGTATTTTGAGAACATACTTTACGAAAGAATGCAAATAGCTCTTAAAATTGTAGAACAGTTGTGAAAGGACAATTCATCCCCTCTTACATAACTTTTAATGATAAATCCATTGTATCAATTCGTTAGTTGATTTATACTCCCCTTTTTTTCTTCTATACACTGTTCATTCACTTTTATTTCTACTTCATTTTTGATACGATTTAGTATATAGGTACGTTTCAAATATACCTTTACCAAAATAATTCTCTTTTTTTAGAATCAAACGCCAATTTTCTTTTATTTCAACCAATTTACATTACTTTATTCACAATAATTAATCATTTCTAAACCCTCTTTAAATGTTTTCGCTACGCCTATGTCTCAGGTTGCGAATTTGGTTTTTAATCCAGTCGGCATAACTTTTTGCCAACCGGCAACACTGGATTTCAGCTAACCTAACCTCGTTTAGGTGACGTTTCGTTGTTTGTGTGTGTTAAAATTTATTTGAAGTTGTTTGAACTAAATAGAATAAACAAATTCGAGAATCTTCAAAGCAAGTGGTCGTGCATAATATTGGATTTTGTATTAATTTTGTTCTGTTTAGTGCTAAATGAAATCAGCAGACACAATGGTAATTTTTATATTGTATAGTTTTTGGTTCTGATTTTATTTGATACCTACCACATAAAAATGTACTTATTGTTGTTTTTTTATGTACTTACCTAGTCGGTATTACGTTTTATAGACTTACATATTTATTTAACTTACGTATGATTTAACAGTTAGTATATTTTAACCAGTTAGCTACATACTTATATATTATTATAGTAATTTGTAGTAGGTACCCAGTTTATTGTCTAATTGTTGTTTAAACATGATTATTCATTATGAAGGTAAGCCGAAGTTTACCTATGTATAAATTATTTACAAATGCACCTGTTAAAAATAGTTATTTATTTACATTCTACCTTGCTTCTCCTTTTTTGCATACTATGTCAATAAAAAAATTATATTTTTTGTTTTAAGAAAAAGCAAGATTGTATTAATATAATTATATTTTAAAATCGATCTATGATTGTTGTTTTTCTTGTTATACCATTAAGTATATTGTACTGGAAACTTACTATTTTTTATTAAATTTCCGACCTAATTTGCCATGGAATTTCTAAATATGCGAAAAAACATTCAAATTTGCTTCGAATTTTAAATTATTTTATTTTTTATCCTCAGATATAATTTATAATAGTTATAGTTTTCTGTAAACTTTGGTAAATTACATTTAATGTAATTATTGAAGGTTTACAGCAATAATTCAATGAAAATTTATTATTGCAAGGAACTTCCTGTTTATTATGTAAGGTAAACACATACCTATATATAAAAATTTAACAATGTCATATTAAAATGGATGAAATTAACAAAGTTGCCAAGATATCAGCATTTTATTCACGATTTTACTTGAAATAAGGTCAAATGGGATCAGATATTTTTAGAATATGTTATTTTCGTTTTTACATAATATTAAATAAAGTTTTATAGTATATTTTAATCAATATTGATGTCTGCTCTTCCAAATAAAATATTTTTATCTGAAAATAGTTACAAACATTAATAAATATTAGTGTGTAAAATCATCAAGAGTATTTCGAATGATTTAATAATAATTTTTATTTCTTATGAATTGTAAATATAAAAATAGTTTTAATGTATTTATTTGGGGCTACATAAATTATATTAACAATTGAAGGTAAAAAAATGTGAAATGAACTCAAAAAGTTACATTTTTGTATTTTATACACTGAGCAATCTAACTTTTTAAATGTAAATTTGTTAAAACAAATTTAGAACATTCTTTAATTTATATCTTATACAAATTTATGTAGTCTATCCTTGAAAATGTCACAGGAAGACTTCTAACTTGTTTTTGAAGCTCCATTATTGGATATTGATGAGATTTATAATACATTTTTGAACATAGGTAATTTTCTACCATGTAAATCAGACTTGTCCAATGGTAAATAAAAATTACTTTGAAAACAAATGTAATACAAAATGGGTAAATAATGAGATTGTTAAAATGGGAAATAATTTAAAAAATATGTATTGGCTCACAAAAATATTTCTGATAGTCATATATTGGAATGATACAAAATGTAAAAACAGAGGTATGCACAAAAAATTAATAAATGCAAAAAGAAATTTTTTCAAAAAAATTTAGCAAACCAAAATATGCAACAAAAACAAAAAATTGTTTGGAAAACTGTTAATTCCAAACTGAATAAACAAAAAATTGCTAATTTTAGTGAAATACATGATGCAAATGGTATAAGATTAAGAAAACTGTTAATTCCAAACTGAATAAACAAAAAATTGCTAATTTTAGTGAAATACATGATGCAAATGGTATAAGATTAACAGAAAACTTAGATATTGCCAACATGTTTGTAGGTTACTTTTCTTCAATTGCTAGTTATGCAATTAAAAATCATTTTCCCAACACCACTTTTATTAATTACACCACTATGTTCGTTCCAAACACATTTCAGTTTATAAAAGTGAATTATATACAAGTGATAGAAACAATGGCATCTCTAAATAATACCAATGTAGAAAGAATTGATTGCATTTCCACTAAAATTATTAAGACAGTTGCCTCATACTTTGCGAATTTATTAGCTCATGTAATCAATAATTCCTTGTTACTCAGAATTTTCCCAAAGACTCTTAAAATTAGGCTTGTGACACTAATCTTTAAAAAAAAGAGTCTCTTGTCAGTAGATAATTACAAACTTATTACAATCCCCACTATAATGTGTAAAGTTTTTGAGAAATGTGTAAGTCAACAAATGTTATCTTTTCTAAAAAAAATAATATCCTAACTGAACATCAACATGGTTTTCTTCCAGACAGGTCAATGGAGAGTGCAACTACTGCTTTCTTCAACTATATATATTGACAGCTAGATAGGGGACAGTATGTGGGTGCACTCTTCTTTGACTTGTCCAAAGCTTTTGACACAATTGACATATCCATTGTTCAAAATAAATTATATGCATTAGGTTTCAGAGGCATAATTTTAAAATGGCTAAGTTCTTATTTCTAAGTCAAAGTTTTCTTTTATTTTAATAAAGTTTCCAGATATTTTTTTTTGTAAAATCACCAGTTCTGGTAATAAATCATCAGTTTTGACAACGCTGCTTGACAATGTCCGCGCCAGTGGCGTCCGCAATCTTATTTCTATAACTCGTAAATTAATTTTAATATTACAATCCTTTTTTATCATATAAATAATATTAAAAGATTAATCGACTTACTTGTAAGTAGTTTCCTGATTTTATCCAAAACAGGGTTCCCATTTGGAAATAAACTGAACAAACTAAGAGAGCCTAATCCCATCGCCCCATATACACACAATATTTATTTTTTTTTACATAAAAAAAAATCCCATTAATCTTCCTTACATGTAAGCCGATTAATTTTCATTCGCCTGTCCTCCATTATTACACATTTGTTCAAAGTAATTATTATTTTTTACAGTATAACTATAACAGATGTCTGTCTGGAGTACCAGTACAGTTTGCCTAGATTTGGGCAATGGATGTGGTAAAAAGAACTGTTTAGACGCGCACTATAATAGAATACGAAGTCATAACCATCATACCCTTCATGTAAGTATATTTTAAACAAGCACCTATCAAAATATTTACTGGATTTTTTTTATAGTTCCAAAGTTTAGTTATAAACATTTTCTTAATATTACTAGGTTTTTTTTATAGTTTGGTTATAAACAATTTTGTATTTATTCAACATTAATTACATTTCTGTTTACATTTAATACAACCAATGGTCATAAAGTTTTTATAAACCTTTAAAAATTGTTTATCTTGAACTGTAAACCATTCATCAATAGTACTTATTTTTTATCTCTAATTAATTCAAGAACAATATTTTTTGATTATATTTTTAATTTGTAAAATATCGTATCTATCTAACAAATTGATTAATTTTTTAATTAGTCTTATACAATGATTTTTTTAATAATTTATTATTTAAATCTACATTGTAATTTTATCTTTTGTTTCTATCTAAATAATTATAAATATCAGATAATAGTGAGGGTTCCATTTGGAGAAATAATTGTGTAAGGTACTTGCAGCACTGAAATATTTTGAAATGATTATGTTGAATAGTTAATTTTTTTTTTTTTTGAAATATTGTTTCTTTTTTATTCTTAGCAAAGTATAGTAACCATTGTTTAATTTAAAAATAATAATTTACTTAACACATTTATTTATACTAATTTATATCACGATGTTCTCACTGCTATGACTCAACTTCAACTGACTGTCCATAACTGCAAACGCATATTTATATAATTATCAAAGGCGTTCCCGAATGATCCACCAAATTCTTCGACAATCTGAAACTTTTTTTTTGAATGCGTATCAACGTAAACCCTGTTTAATACAATTATATGGTTCTGTCAGTACATAGTTTAGACAGTTTTAATGTTAGACATGCGCTTAACTCAAAAATGAAAAAAAAAAGTACTTATCTTGTTTTGGCAGTAACCCGACGATATATTTGATCATTGGTTTAACACGTTAAAGACCGCATGCCCACCGGTGGGTCACTCCGCAACATCACCGGCCCGCGTGCTCACGAGTTGGCAAACGAAATGTTTTACCTGCCTGGGGACCGCTTGTACACCGGTGGGCATGATTTAAATTCAATTTATGTACAGTAGTTCATTCGCTGGTCCGTCGAAGAGATACTGCATAAAGCGGATTTAGTTAATTTGACATAGCCTCATTTTAAAACGATTTTTTTTAAATCAAACAAAGTTAACGAGTTTAGTTTCGTCAAAGCTAGAATGTGCAAGACAAACTGACTCACCGGTGGGCATGCGGTTTACGATAGTAAATTTACACGTTGGGACCGGGTGATCACCCGTGGGCACTTTAATTGAAATAAATCTAGGGGTTAAATAATGTCTACCTCAAATTATTGTACACTAAAAACATATTTAAAAAATAATATACGTAATTAACAATAAAAAAAATGCTGGTCCCTATGTGAGAAATAAGATTTTTCAATGCGGTGTTGAACGTGTTAATATTTGTTCTACTATATGATTCTTGAAATCCGGTACTTTAGTTGTAAAATAATTATTAATTTAATTGTTAGAGGTTTTTACAGCTGTTTTTTTATTTTTATTTCAGTGTAAAAACATGTCTCTCTCAGGAGACGAAATTCACAACAGACGCTACCTCTCGTGGCGCAAACTGCAACTAGCCAGAGCGAAACTGAAAGCTTCCAGTAAAACTTCCGCCCTCCTATCCGGATTCGCCATGGTAGCCATGGTGGAACTCCAGCTCAACACTCCGGAAAAAATCCCAGGTGAAGTTCTGGTGACTTTTGCCATAATCACGACGTTGTTGGTAGCAGTGCACATGTTGGCGCTGATGATCAGTACCTGTATTTTACCGAACATAGAAGCAATATGTAACTTGGATTCCATAAACTTGGTAGAAGAATCTCCGCATGAACGGTTGCATTGGTATATAGAAACCGCTTGGGCGTTTTCTACTCTACTGGGACTGCTGCTCTTCCTGGCCGAAATCGCCATTTTGTGTTGGGTGAAATTCATAGACACTAACGAGACTGCGGCTTGGTCTGCTACCGTCATTTTAGTACCAGTACTTTTTATATTTTTAGCTTTCGCGATACACTTTTACAGATCGTTAGTGACTCACAAGTACGAGACTACTCTATCGGGTATTAGGGAGTTGGAGTTGCTCAAGGATCAGATAGAGCAAGGACAGGTGTCGTCGCAACATAGAAACGGAGTTGGGGATTTGATACAGTCAATCCATATGGTTTAGTTGGTAACTAAAAAGGTTTATAAATTTATACGACGTTGTAGGTGCAGGTGTATATCTGAATTTTAATTATTAAAAGTGTCTACAGAATATAGTCTTATCAGCTATTGGAAAGAATGGTTTAAATTTTGCGGTAAAGTTGAGGTAGATATAATTTTTTTGCGCAAATTACGAATTGAAACTGTAAAAGGAGCAATTCTTTTAATTATTTAATTTTTTGGGAAATATGCATTTTTTTCCAAAAAAAGTTTCAAACGAAAGTTGTTCAGCTTGATATTATTTATAAAAAAGGTCCCTGATACATTTTTACCCTTTTTATATTCGGATTTTGTTGGTATTTTGCGATGTATTGGTTTTTTCGTGATATAATCAAAGAAAATACTATAAAGAGTAAAAAAAATGCGACATATATCCCAATGATGTTTTAAGCTGGGACATATATGCCTGGTTAGAAATTAACGGTTTTTATTGTACAAAAAAAAAGAACATATGTTTCAGTAGTGTTTTAAACTGGGAATAATTACAGTTAGAAATTGACGAATTTAATTTTTTTTTACCAGAAAGCGAACAAAAAATGGGACATGTATGTCTCAGTCGTGTTTAAAGCTGGGGCAGATATTTGTCCCGTCAATGATTTACAGTTAGAAATTAACTAATTTTAATTTATCATATCAAAAACAGAAAAATGGGACATATATATCCCATCAGTGATTTACAGTTAGATATTAACGAATTTTTATTTTTTTTCCCAAAAAATCAAAAAGTGAGACATACATTTCCCTCCAGGGATTTACAGTTAGCAATTAATATTTTTTTATACCCAAAAATGTGGGACATATATGTCACTATGTTGTTTTAATATATTGTTTTTTCGTGATATAAACACTATCAAAAGTACAAAATTAATTTTTCTTTTTGGCACAAAAAAATGGGACGTATATGTCCCAATGATGTTTTAAGCTGAGATAGATGTGTTTCCTTGGTGATTAACAATTAAAAATTAAAGAATTTTTTTTTTCAAAAAAGTGAGACATATGTCCCAGTTGTGTGTGAAGCAGGGACAGATATGTCCCATTGGTGATTTACAATTAGAAAATAACGAATTCAATTTTTTGTACAGAAAAAATGGGACATATATGCCCGAGTGGTGTTTTAAGTTGAGACAGAATAGTCCCGACGATGATTTACGGTTAGAAATTAAAGTAGTTTTTTGCATCAAAAAATTAAAAACAGTAAGTGTGACATATATGTCCCACCAGTGATTTACAGTACGAAATTAATGAATTTTAATGTCCCAATGGTGTTTTAAGCTGAGTCAGATATGTCCCGCCAGTGATATACAGTTAACAATTAACAAATTTTATCTTATACCAAAAAATGATAAAATGAATTATTGTCTCAAAAAATCAAAACAGAAAAATAGGACAGATATGACCCGTCAATGATTTACAGTTAGAAATATTGGGACATATTATGACATGCCATAAATATTAACTGGGACATATGCATCTCATTACTCTCATTGAGCAATATAACTATCCTCTTAAAAAGTTTGTTGAATGTGTAATGTGAAATTCGTGTTGATAAGCAGTTGTTTTTGGAATAGCGAAACTTTCACAAAGTTTGACCCTCTGTAAAGTCGTGAACTTTAGTTTTTACTTTAAATGTTCCTAAACGTTTTTATTTAATACTTTTTGGGATAAAATGCATATTTCTAAAAAAAAAAAGTCTCCTTTCACAGTGTATTTTGACCTAAACCAATGTCTAAAAAAATTACTTTATACCGCCGAAATGAGAGCAATATTTACTTAGAAACCGAAAGAAACTGATAAGACTAATTATTGAAATCTGCGGAAAACGGATGTGATAACGGTCTCTATTCAACATTCCACATTTTCATTAACAGCGTATATTGAAAAAATTGGATTCGACTCTTCTTAATTGATGAAATAAACAACACTGTTGTTTACACAGGTGTCTTCAAATGATTAACAATATATTTGACAATATTGACATTTAATTGCTAAATTTCCAAGGATGTTGTTACAGAATTGGTAACAATATAAATTGATAGTCCCTTTTTTAAAACCACTCATTTTAATCTAAGTTTATGGAAATAAAATAGTGAGTAAAAAAGACATTGCTTTAATAGTGTTTTAATATTTAGAGCTCCAGTGACGAAACCTCTATATAGTTTAAAATAATAAAATTAACGCTAAACAAATAACACCCTATACATTTTCTGTTTTACTATATATACAGTAAATGAAATCTAATATATTTTGATATATGCTATATTCAGTTCATAAGTATGGTTGTCGTTATGAATTTATGCAATATGTTGGAAGTATTTCCAACAATTAACATTATTCGATGAATAAAAAAATCGATTGGGTCAGTAGGAAAAGCAGTCTAATTGCAGTCTCATGATAGTTTCATACAGGGACCAGATTCGTAGCAAGTTATAAGCAGTGACGTGTCCTCTTCGGCTGTATAACCAAGAAATTTTTTTATCTTTTACAACAGTCTTAGCTATGTAAGTTTTTTTTTGGACTTGTGACCTGCTGCACAGGGGCCCATATATGAGGTAATTACCCCAAGAATTTTTAAATTTAACTTTTTATAGGTACTAGATCGTACTATTATTTAAAATAAATATTACTACTACCCCCCAGACTTAAACTCTGGATGCGTCACTGCTGCTGCGAATTTTTAGTCAAGATCGCAAATCTCTTCTCCTACTTGGTTTTAACCTCTAAGGGAAAACATCAACAAACAATCATCGGGGACCTTATCATCTGGTGTAAACCTTGAGTCAAGATAGCCAATCGCACCGAATATCTTCGCCCACTTGGTGTAAACCTCTGAGAGAAGATATCCGGGAGAGATGACGTAGCCTAAACTCAATCTGTTGCTGGGTGCAAAGAATGTGTGAGAGGGGGTATAACCTAACAACAAGGTCAGATGCCTCCGTACCGTAGGTTGGGATAAAAACGAACACGAGCCAGTATACCTTCGACACCTTTTAGATAATCTTTTATCGCTTATTCCCAATACCCCCATCAGGGAAGAAAGAAATGTCCATCGCCAGATTGCGTAATTATCTCTGAAAAATCGTTTGAAAGAGATTTTTCCAATCCAGGGACTGGAACTTTTTCCGAAATCAAAATTATATACTTAAAAAGGCGAATTCCAACGACGCGTGGATCGGCGAATCACGAGTTCATTCCGCCAAGCTCCCCGCGATGGGAATGGACTGGCGCGGCTTGGTCTTTTCAGCGTGTTGTCGGTAAATTTAATGCGAGTCAAAGGAAGTTTAGGCTGGCCGAGTCTTGTAGGTCTCGAGCCGGAACTCACGCAGATTGTGGGATCGCATTCACTTGCCGAGTCTTGATTACCGAGCCTCGACGAGCGCCAGTCTCGCCAAACCACGTCCTATGGGAATTCGCCTTAATTCAAAACCGTTGAGAAAATGTTTAAAGTAAAACCCCGCAGAAAAAAAATAAGGTTTAAACTCTTCCGGTTATTTGGGGATCTGGATTTGATATAAGTGCCAATAATGCATACATTATAAGCCTTTGAAAAATACGAGACAGTGATAATTTGCAATAATTTTATATCATTTTCTTGTTTTTTGTTAATAATTGTCTTTTTATTATTGTCAAGAAATAAAATGACTGCATTGTAGAACCCCTTTACATTGTATACATGGCTTAGAACTCTCAATACAGCCCCTTGATCCAAAACACTCACAGCCGTATGCATAGTCGATCGCCAGCGTCTCGCGAGTCGCTGGCGATCGACTATGCATACGACTGTCACCGCTATTCCCTTATTGATCTGAAACACCCATACAGCTCCTTGGTCCAAAACTCTAATTGCTATTCAGCTCCTTGATCCAAAACTCTCATTGCTATTGTTTCATTGATTACAGAACACCTTTTTTTATCTACTAACTTTGCTTAAATATATATGGGGATATATTTCATTCTCGTATCACTAATAATCATAGCTATATATTACACCGTGAATTAATGTTGTGAACCAATAACCCACTAATTTTAAGGAGCCACTCGCGCAAACTTGCCACTGACTTAAAAGCGGTCGATAGCTTTGACCCTAAACTTAGCAGTACGAGGATATCTGCAACATAACCCTTTCGCAAATCGTCACGAACTCTTAAATCTCCGGGAAGGGAGCGCGGACAGGCTAGTGGACAACTGCCGCTATCACTAGAGACTTCTAATTCGAGGAACTAACGTCGAAGAAACCCCAGAAGTAGGACAACCCGAGTTGACAAACAGACTTAAGAAAATTGTAACAATAAACCATCTTCCCGAGTTACCAAGATGACCTGCGACCGAATATGGCCAATACAACCCTCTTGAGGCATGTGATAACGACTCTTAAGCCAGCCAAATCGCAATTTATTTCACACGTACCTCAAATCCTTGTACAAGGAATGTACATGCCTTCCTAGCAAGTTATGAAGAACAACTATTGCAAACTGATTAAAAATCAGTTTCGTTGCGTCCTTCTTAACATAAAAAACAAAAAATCAAATAAAAGGTTGGGCAGTTGTCAAAACTGATTTCTACGAAGAAGTAGATGAAGCGCAGCATAGAAAATCTTTTTCCTACGACCTACAAAACTTTATTATGAGTTCGATCCTACCCTGAACGCAAAAGGATTTCAAAAGTTCTTTGAGAACGGGCAAGAGACCGAATTATACGCAACATACTGTATGACGATGGATTAATTTAAAACCATAGTCTTAAAATTGCAAGATATCTCGAATAATGCTGCGACATTTCGATATTTCAGCCTACGAACAGAACAAAAAACGGATTTGGCACCCAACAAGGAAAAATAGGAAACTCGTCAGAAACAAGATGCTCGACCGAAATGCTATACCTGCGGTAAACCAGGACATTTGGCAGCTCCTTGCTATGCCGAAAATAGAGGCAACCCACTAAGCAATATATTAACCATATTTCACGAGCCTTTCTGTCGTGATCGAATCACTTTTATTAGTGATTGAAGGAATAACAGAGCAGAACAACAATTAACAATTTTATTAACAATAATATATAAATAAATATATATTTATTGGGAATGCAATAAATCCAAACCTTATCAGGGGCAAACATTTATACAACCAAAGATGACGCGTCACTGCTTATAACTTGATACCAATGTGGTTCCTCTAAGAGATTATCGTGAGAGTGTCCTCAGTCGTTATTTGTTGAAATATGGACGCCAAAATGACTTATTTTTCTTAAGTAGGATATGCAACGTTTCTGCGTCTTCGATTTTCTTCCGTTCTGATTTGATATATCTCTGTCAAGTCGGGGAACCACCCAATCACTCAAATCATTCTAATAGTACGCCGGGGCAGTAAGCGAAAACGGTTACATGATAAATAAAATTAAATATGTAATGACGTTTCGGAATTTGGTGTACTGCGCTCTGATTGGACATTTAACTGTCAATATATTGACTTTTGACACATTGACCTTGAACTATCCAATCAAAACGCGGTGAAGCATTGAGTATCTCTCGATTATGGCCATCGCTATTTTTATATTCGCCGAATAAGATGTATAGGGTGTTATTTGTCTAGCGTGACAGTATTTTTAATACACTTTCATACTTTTTTTGAATTGTTAGAATATATAATATATTTTTCGATAAGGTATATTTTTATATCTTACTAACTCTTAAATTGCTTGCAAAAATTGCATTGAAAGATTTTTAAAAGTATTTTAATAATGAGTGAAAAAATATAATTGACAAGACTGATATTGAATTCCATTAAAATTACATTTAATCATTTTGTTATTGTAATTAATGGTAAATAGTACTGTAATGGTGATTGATGTAACTAACTTATGATTGGTCCGTTACAAGCTTGTTTTACATTTTTATTGATTCCCGTTTTTATGGTTAATATTTTCCATGAATTAAATCAAATAGACGAGGTTGCAAATGTGTTGAAAAGGTAACAGTAAATAATGATGCATATGCTTAAAGGGTGTTCAAGTATTATATAATATAACTCCCCCATCTCCTCTGTATAAGCAAAAATAAGAAATGGATTAATTAGTTTTTTAAGAAATAGAAATGGTATGTAGTTGACTAGCAACCAAGTTCCCTATTTTCATCACGAAATGTACTAAGGTTATTTTATTAGTATAAAACTGTTATAATATCTAAATATTTTTAAGTACTTAAGTTTTTATCAAGAATCTCATTTTTTTAACTTGTTTTTTTTTTAATATTGATTTTATTTTTTTATTTTATTGTTATAAATAAACGAGATTCAGTAAATAACTGCAATGTAAAATTATATTTAGCGAAATTTTACATTACATGTTTTAAAATTATTTTATTTGTAGTTTAACTAAGCTGCTTGATTTGATATTCAAGTCCAATACTTACATGTTCTGTTCATCATATAAAAGTTCTTACAATTTTATGAATTAGACATCTTTTTGTAATAAATAATTTTAAATTATGAAAATACCTAGTAATAGTATATTTAGGATTTTTTTTTTACATATTCGAAAATTAATCTAAAATATGGACGATATAATCAAAAAGCAGGTATTGCTTTTTAATAATTTTTGCATTTTACCTGTTCGAAGTTATGTTTTTCAAAATAATTTATTTTAGAAGTTCATGTACTATTAAACTGTGATTTTAGGCTATATAACATTAGATAGTTATATCAGACAATTCGTAAAAATGTAAAGAAATCAATATTAAACATTTTAAAATAATTTTATTTTCCATCTTATTTTTTGATTTGGTAGTTAACGAATATCTGATGTATCTATTTAATATTAATTACTTAGTAGAACAATTTATAAATAAAATTTTCGAGATTTTACTGAATAAAATATATTAAACAAAATAATGTATATAAATCTTGTCTTGCCATTAAATTTATTCATAAGAACAGATAACACATCCACGAGCTGATTCTATGTATTTTTCATCTCACTCATGGTCTGGAATCTAGTTGATATGCAAGATCCGTCTTTCTCGGAATCAGCAGTGCTTCCAGCATAATGATATTGCACCAATATATCAGCAGATCCTTCGTTTGTCAATGCCATTTGCTCACCCATGTCGCACACTCGTTGCAAATCTTCCAAAGTGTTCTAAAACACCATTTTTGAAATTAAATTCGAGTCAGAGCTTATCCAAACTAAAGTTAAATAGATCTTGGTTATTTTAAAATGTGGCATTTCTAGATAAGGCAAGAATACGAGTTTTTTTTTACGTCAGATCGTTTTCTAAAAGAGAAGTTTAAAGAACGAGTAGTTTCAGCCATTCTGTGGTTCACTCTGGCTTCATCTGCTGTGAAGTGAAAGTCGTATGTGGCGATAAAGGTGGTAAACAAAATAAGAGCTGCCCAGGCGCCAGTTTTGATACGCAGTTTGCTCTGCAAGCATTATATACACCGAGTACACTCAAAACACCCTCAATAGAGTAAATTAAATTCTAGGCGGTCGCTTGCAAATTGGGTATTAACTAAAAGAAACATAACACCGATAATACCTACCTAATCGGTGTTATCACCTTTTACTCTAGAAGTAACCCTGGAAGAGCTAGATAAAGTGCAGGTTATATTTAAGAGAAACACAGTATAACATAACGGAAATATTTACAAAATTAGTAGTTTGAATTAATTATAACGGAGGTTCAAGTACTATTGTTCGATTTCTGTTTAAAAATTTCGGATGTTGAGAAATTTAGTCGTCGAAACAAGACTATCTTACTTCAGAAATCGCAGAACAGTATTCCGTACAAAATTGGAAAATTAATTTCCTCTGGGTATAAAATTCGAACTCCGGATTTGAGAAATTCAGTCGTCGGAAAAAGACTGTGAGCTCACTGGCCTTGCTTCTTATGCGAATCTTAAATCTCAAAACGGTACGCAGTACAAAAAATAGAAAGAAAAAAATTTCTCGTGCTATAAAATTATGTCTTTAATAATATTCGACACAGGAGAAAAACCAAATAAACTTTTAGTCTCTACCTTGGATTTTTCCAAAGTTGGTCTCGAAAGGAGAATTAAAGGGAGTAATAATAATCGCGTTGTTTAAAACTAGGCACCAAAAAGGGAGAGTTCGCTGGGGTATTGACTTTATACTTTTACGATCGGACTGGTTCGGGTTACGAGTGGTTTGGAGTAGGAGTAACCAATGTTTACTTGTTTAGAGAACTAAAAAACATCTTTTTGACATCTGCCGAATATGCCCAGATAATTTACATGACCTTCGTCACAGTTTAAGAATTATACTATAGGCTAGCTACGATTTAAACTCATTAGAGTACTTACCACCGGCAAAGGATAGAGTGTTGGTGCAAGAGCAGCTTGTCTAAACGGTAGATTTGAAATGGTACTCCAAACACATACATCTAATCTCCAAACTCCAATCTGAATTTGTCCCACATTCAAGAAATACAACCTCGCTTTGCCGTGTTTCTGATCATTTAACCAAGAGCCTTCGTATCTGTTTCCATTCGGTAGTACAAGCATCCCTGCAATTTCAAATACAGTATCTAAGCAATCCAAGGTAGAGGAGAGTGCATATAAATCGTTTTAAACATCGATGACGAGTCGTGCAGAGAGGAGAAACTTGTTAGTAAACCCTCACTAAAAGGAGTGGCGATTTCATTATTTTCCGAGGCAAAATACTTTGGTGTCGTCTTAGACCACAGTTTAACGTAGAATCAACACTTGCAAAAAGCCCAACGTCCTTCAACTTATATTGGTGGCTGTGCGGTGGGATTTAAAAGAAAAAATTTCCCTAAGATTGTTTACCAGATTCATAAGGCCTGTGATAGTGTTGTGGCCAAAGACTCTGCAAGTTGGAACTATACAACACCTCCACAGTATTCAACGGCAAGCATGCTTAAGTGCCATGGGAGCCATAAGAACGACTCTAACAGAGTCCTATAAGTCTTTCATACAAGGTAAAGTTAGGTACTTATGTCACATACAGATTGCACTAAGGTCTGCAATGATTAAAGGATATCAAAAATAGATATGACTGTCCCAAAATCCTAACCAAATCTAATCCAATATATCAAAAATGTGTATACAAGGTAAACCAAAAAGGTCCAGTAAGTGCTTCTATCGCGAAAAGTTTTTAGGGAGTGATTTATTAGGTTCTTTTGTACGTCTCACTGGTGTAGGAATGAACTACACCAACGGACACTAAACCTTTCGTTTGGCCCGGCGTAAAACCCACTATACCTTCCTATCGGCGATGTGGTGTCCACTGGTGGATATTTTCTCTATCAGTTATTTAGTAGGACTGAATTATTACACTCGACATGTGTATAAGGAATAAGGAGGAAGTAAACTAGGGTAAATAAGGTGGTGTAACTGGTGTAATTTACACTGGTGGACACTGCACCAACAGCGAACGAGAGAAACTATTATGTAGTAGGTATATATAACATTTTAAACAGTTTACTGAAAAGGGTCCAACGCAAAAAACCGTGTAAAATCGTAGGTAAAACGCTAACGGAGATATGTAAGTTCAAATCCTATTATAATTTCGACGAAATATCTATTACCTACTCCTTGCCGTTGATCTTTTACCCATTCGCCATCATAATAAGCTCCATCGTTGTAATACATTTGACCAAGGCCGTGTCGTTTTCCATATTGAAAAGAGCCTACATAAAAACCTTCAGGATATGATCGAATTCCTTCTCCGTGCATTCTTCCATATTTCCAATCGCCTCTGTAGGATAATCTGAATACTTTATACTTCGGAAGATAGTATGCTAAAACGCCTGCGCCATGGCGGTAATCGTTTAGGAAGTCGCCCTCGTATAAATCTTTGTGTTTTGTTAACATAGCTCCTTTTCCTAAAAAACATTTTTTAATTGCATTACTAAGCTGAAATCGGTAGATATACTGCAAACTCGGTAGGATTAGCAACGCTGCAAATACCCAGTTCCCAGGACAGGGATTCTTATGTGCGAACTCAACACGATACGTGTTGAATAGAGAGGGACATTACATAACAATCGCATTCTGTCGAACGAAGATAGGCGTCTTGACATGTGCGGTAATTAAGATGAGAATCCCATTTTAGATAGAATTAAACCACTAGCAGCGTGACTGTCACTGTATAAGTGAAGAAAAGCCAGAAGTACATATATTACTATTATATACATATGCGGGAACCATTGTCATCAAAGCTACTTAAGTAATAAAAATACACTTTAATATAAACACTGATTACATGTTTCCAAAACCGTGACAAATATTTAATTTTCGTGTGGCTACTGCTTGGAAATTATCGGTCTGATTCTAATAGAAAACTCGTACCAAAGCTTATAACCATAAAGCATTCATTAGAATTTTCTAACCTACCCGTTTTTTTATCATGTATCCAAGCTCCTGTATATTTATCATAGACTCCGTTAAAAATACCGTGCCTCAAACCGTTTTTATAAGATTTTTCCTCTAATTTCCTTGATCTGAGTAATTTTCTTGGGTCAAATCTATTACAAAATGGCATTTTTTTTTATTTGGATATCTCATCAAAAATAACGGCTGAAATGTTAAAAATGAATTTGCAAATTTTAAAATTTCAAATATATTTTGGCAAAGCGATTCAAGTGTACAAATGGCAAACAAATTGACAATAACATCAAAAATTATTTTATTTTGAGGATAGCTCATTTTTATACTATATAGGAATATAAAGGTATGTAACTATGTTTTAATTCTACTACATTTTAAAACGATTAAACTAATTCAAAAATAGGCACCAAATTTTATCCTACACGGATGACAATTTTGAGCATGCGTACTTTTACTCCTTTACGTTTTTGAATATTTGATAGAGATGGAGCAAGCGATTTTTAAGAAGCGGCAACGACTTATTCTGTTACGACAAAAAGAGTAAGAAATTGCTATTTTTTTCAGAGCAGCTTTTACTTATTTAATGCCATACATACACTTAAAAAAATATTTCATTTATCTGTGTTTAGTAATATTTTTTTATATACAGCAACTACTTTATTGTAAAGAATAATATTAGAAGGTCACTGAGGTTCACTTTTGTTTCTACTAAAATGTTTTTATAAAGCACTAATTTTAAGAAAGTTGATCATTTGGCTTTTTTTCACGTAAATAACGGTTTCGGGAAAATTGGTCTAAATCATTTAGGGTTGATTCCACCTTTGTGTTAAACGAAGTTTAAAATGTCATTTTTACATTAACAATGTGGAATCGACCCTAAGTGCACCAAAAAAAAACTAAACACTACAAAAAATAATACAAACTTAGACTAATAACTTCTCTTGAAGAGTTTTTGTCAATGGAAGCACGTACTTTTGTTGTTTTTGCTTAGGGTCCTCCATTTAAAGTCACGTGATTTGAATTTCCTTGTTGGTTACCCATTGTTTTGGAACTGCTCTGAAAAACAACACCTTTCATTTCAGTGACAAAATCTGCTTCAGTGAAATCGTAACCCATCTCTAATATTTAAGTTGACATTTGACAAGTAGATGTGGAAACAAAACAAAAAATGGTGGCTAGAAGACGAGGGAAACGAAAAACTCCTACAAAAGCTTTACCTTTCGAAGTGGACGACGAAGATGTATCTCCAGATAATTCCGAGAGTGACTGTGATGAACGGGAATCCAAATTTTTAAAATCCGATTCAACATTCGTTGAATCTGTAGTGAGTGCACTTTCTAACCTAGAAAATGAGACAAAAACAGAAACAAACTCCTCGAATTCAGTCGTAGTATTAGATGAGATAATAGATCTTTCTGAAAAAGATAACTCTAATCATTCGGTAATTTTGTCGGATAAATTAGACGTTTCTGAACCGGACAACAATTCGCAGAATGTAGAAGAAAATTTTAGTGAGGTTTCAACTTGTGTTAATTTTAACGAACAACCAATGGAAAAGCAAAAAGAGATTGAAGATGGAGAATTAATCATTGATAACACAAATGATAAAGAATCTCCGAATCAATTCATTCAAATCAACTTTTCCAACCAAGAAGTCAGTAACCTGTACAAATCAAAGTTTTTAAAATTTATAAGTAGTTTTAATGAGCTAGAAGTAGTTGAAGAAAAAGAGTTATCATTATCAGTTAGTCTAGAAAAGGCTCTACTGAACGAATGGCAAGTTTTGGATGAAACTTTATGCTTAAATGACTCACAACCTGTAGTAAACAATTCAGAGGATCATCCTAAATTACTTCTGAAGGAAGATGAAGCTCATATCGATAGAACGAAAAAAAAGCGAAAGAAAAAAACTAAAAAGGAAAAGGATTTATTCGTATTGGACACTACACCATCACAACACGCGAGTAGCATAGGTTGTGCAAAATATATGAGCAAATTCAACATTGATATTAACGATAGTAATGAAGAGGAAGTTAAAATTTCACATCAGACTTGTTTCAACTGTGAGCAGAGCCATGCTCTTAGAGATTGTCCATTACCTAAAAATTTTACCAAAATAAACATGATGAGGCAGAAATTTAGAAAAGATAAACAGACTTCGTAAGTAAAATTTCATTTAAACACATTAAGTAAATAATAATAATAAACGTTCTTTATCAAGCTACTCAGGGATGGAAATAACCTAAGAATTCAAAAATATATAAGTAGGTTTTATACAATTTTATAGGTTTTTTAAGGTTTTTAGTTCGTATGTCAAAAATTATTGTCACTATCATTAATATCAAGAAGAAGTAATTATAACCTTTGATGAAATGTTTGCATGTTTTAATATACAAGTACACTCATCTTTGCACCCTTTCTCCTGAGAGTTGATTAATAAAACTGTGAATTCTTAATACTTATTTATCTTAAATAACCTAAAAAACCTAGGTGCAAAAAACCTGTACCTGCCAACCCTGAAGCTACTATATCCACCATCAACCGAACTACTTCAGTTCAATGATAATTTTTACATTAGAATATTTTTTAATCTTATGTTCAAGAATTGATAATCAACAATATTTACATAAACAAACAAAAATTTTAAAAATACACTTAAAAAAATATTACTTCATGCTATTTGAATATTACTTCAGATTTTAAATTAATTAGAAAAACCTTTAAAGTCTTCATAGTTGAGGTTCATTTTTATTGTTTTTGGGTTCTGATTTTGGGTCATCCTGGGTCTTCATAAATAAATAAATTTTTATTGGTCCTTTTTGATCACTATACAATGATGTAGGATATGTCAAGATACATGTTGTGGACAAAACACAATTTAAAATCTACATTTTAATATACATACATATACACACACATACATATATTATGTTACCTAGTAATAATCCTTAATATTATAAAAACATTCTATTACTAAAAATTTTTTTAATGATTGTTTATCGCTGTTAATGGATTTTATGTTTTTAATATCATCTGGTAGTTTATTAAATAATTGAATTCCTGCATTCTCAGGACTATGTTCATAGAGAGCAGATACATGCCTAATTGTATGTAACATATTGCCATTACAAGTGGGATAGTTGTGACAATCATTGCTCCTGAAAAATTTAGCTTCATTTTTTTTGTATATAGGATTGTCTTATTAATATATATTGAGGATAGAGTGAGTATGTGATATTTAATAAAATGATCCCTGCATGTTTGTCTTGATTCCAGATTGAAGATAAGTCTAATTGCTCTTTTTTGTGCAATAAATACAACATTTTTCAAAGACAACCTATATCCAAAAATGCCTAATTAGAGGCCAATTATAGCATTTACCAGCACAAATGGTTATTTCCCCTACAAAATTAACACAGAAATAGAGATTTACTGTTAAACTTAGAGGGTTTCTGCAAAGTACCTATATTAGGATTGGCATAATGGTTTTTGTGTTTCCTGAAAAAAGATGATTTTGGACAGAGATCGTTTTTGAAAAAAGGTCTTCAAATAGAGTCACAGCAGCCTTTAATTGTTTTGAGATCACATGAAATATAGGTTTTAAGATCTTCAGTATCTTTTCCATTTCAAAAAACTGGCATTATCAGTAAATATTGTAAAGTTTTTTAAACTTTTGTTAAATCATTAATATATAAAGAAAAGAACTGGTCCTAAAACAGATCCTTGTGGAACTTGATATTAAATTCAAAATAAATTAGTCATTTAAAATTTTGTATAAAAAAAGTTCTTGTGAATACAATAAAGTTGTAAAAAGAGTAAAAAACTTCAATTTAAATTTTTAAAAGATGACATGTGTTCACCATATTTATTCAACTATTTTCATAACTAACGAATCATCTTGCATACCCTATTATGACTCATTACTTAACGTCCCAATAAATAATGTGCATTCAATAATTTGTAGGCCATGACTAATGAATCTTCTTGCATACCCTACATTTATTAAATTTAGCTAGGGATAATGTTTTTCTTAAAATGTCCATCGCTATCTTCTTAGTCAGAAGACACAATCTATCTTGTTTTATTAATAATAATAATAAAATAAAACGCCATAAACTTTTTAGTTTTTATTTGATTTATAATTTAGTTTTTGTTATTAATTGAGGGCCTTAGAATAAAAGGGCTATAAGTGCATTTTGGGATAAAAAGGGTACAAGTGATGCTTGTACCTGTTTTGCTCTCACCAAACTAGGAATTATTCACATAGTATTTCTACTCACCAAAATATGGCAGTCTAGGTCAATAAATCACTTAAATCTGTTTTGCACTGAACAAACATCAACTTTAAATATTCATATATATGCTATTATCTCCAATCAAAAAAAAAAGAATTACTTATACCCCTTTTATTGCAAGGCTCTCAATTTATGTAATTTTAAATTTAATATTATTTTATATTCTGTTATGTTGTTCTTTTTTGTTTCCTAAAATTAGTAATTTTCATTTTAATTACTAATAAAGTCCTTGTACCTATCACTGCTACTATAAGAAAAAGTACTTACTATTTGTGGTTAGTATAATAATCCATTTTAAAATCTAATTTTTCAGTGTTGTCTTCTTAAAATTCCTTTTCTTTACATATTTTCAAATATAAGTATATCTTGTAAACAATTCTTATGTCAAAAGTTCATCTAGTCTCGGCTCTCGGAGTTTGATTCTTATGCAAAACAATCGTTTGTGTTCACCTGCACTGTGTTCTATTAAATGGGCCGACAGAGATAGAGATCATTCTTGATAGGGATATATCTCGAATATTGTCATACTTTACTTCATACTGTCATTTGAGATCACCTAGCAATTGAGGTGTCATTAAATTATATAAAGGAAAAATGTTATGTAACTGATATCAATGAAAAGATACATTTTAGAGACTTATCAGAGGCGAATTTACTTAATCTGCAGCAAAAAATAAGTTCTGAAAATTTTGATTCTGTGTATGAATATTTTGATAACATAAATCTTGCCTATGAAACATTCTTAAATATTCTAAATTACTATATAGAAGTAAATGTCTGGTTGTCACAAGAGCTGTAAAGACAAATAAAAAAAAATAACTGGATAACTCCAGATATTTTGAGGATGGGAGCTGATATAAGGAATTTATTTTGGTTAGTAAAAAATTCTAATGATGTGAATAGTGAATATACATATTAGATACAGAGAAGCAAAGAGACAATATGTCAATAATATAAATGGAGCAAAAAGATCTCATTTTCAAAAGGGATTGCACAATAAAACTTTTCAGCAAAAACAAAAATATATATGGAAACAGGTAAATCACCAAGATGGTAAAACATCAAAAGGTTCTCAAATTAAACAAATTGAAGTAGGAGGACTGTCAATTATTGAACCAAAACAAATAGCTAAAGTTTTTGCAGAGCATTTTGCCACCTCCACAAAAAAAGCACTACAGTCTCATTTCAATGATTTGAATTTTAAAAATTTTACTGTGTCATGTGTCTCTCAGACCTTTTACTTCTCTCCTGTTCATCATCGTGATGTAATTGAAGTTATTTACTCATTAAAAAATGTTAACTCTTTGGGCATTGACTGCATTTCCACAAAGATAATAAAACTTATTAGTCATCACATTTCTCAAATTCTAGCAGACTTAATCAATCAGTCTATTCAGCTAGGTATTTTCCCAGATTATCTGAAAGTAGGGTATGTAACTCATATCTTTCAAAAAGGTGATAATAATTTAATTGATAATTATCGACCTATTACAGTGCCTACAATCTTAAGCAAAATCTTTGAACAGTGTGTCCACAAAAAAATGCTAATATTTCTTAAAAAATATGCAAAAATCAAAATGGATTCCTTTCAGAAAAATCTACTGAAAGTGCAGCAATAGATCTGTTTAATTTCATACATACTTCTATCGATCAAAAGTTGTTTGTGGGTGCGCTTTTCTTTGATTTATCAAAGGCGTTTGATTCAATCAACTTAGATATCGCTATTCAAAAATTGGAAGGGCTTGGTTTTAGAAGTAACTTTTTGTCTTGGTTGTCATCTTATATAAATAACAGACATATCTATGTCAAAGTCGAACATTGTAAATCTGAACTGGAAAGTGTTGATATGAGTGTGCCTCAGGGATCAATTTTAGGACCTCTAATTTTTCTATGCTACATAAATGATATGCCTAATTATATTAACTCAGAAAACATAATTTTATATGCAGATGACACAACAATTGCCACCAATGCACAATCAGTAGATGAATTAATTAGTAAATTAAATGTTTTATCTAATGAGTTTACATCGTGGTGTTATAGAAATTCTTTAATTGTTAATTCAAACAAAACCGTTTGCCTTCAGTTCTACTCCAGAAATCAAATTACCCAGAATTGTAAAATAAATGTCAATAATGCAGAAATTATGCTCTCAGATGTTACAAAATTTTTGGGCATACATATTGATAGTAAAATAGATTGGGATAGCCAAATATCTAATGTTTTTAAAAAATTAAACAGCGCATACTATGCAATACTAAAATTAAAATCAATATTTACCCAAGAGCAACTGCTTAATGTCTAATATGCTTTAGCATATTCTCATATATCATTATTCTTTGGGGTGATGCAGTCAATGCATCTAAAGTATTTATCTTACAGAAAAGAATAATCCGGCTTATTTTTAATCTAGAATTAATGCAAACTTGTAAATATAACTTCAAAAAATTTAAAATATATACTATAATGAAACACGAAATCCCAAGAATATCAAGTTAATGATTAAAAGTCTTCAAAGAAATAAAATTAAAAAATTTCATCTAAGTATTTAGACTACACCCTGTATAGTGGTAAATTTGACAAGATCAAAAGTAACTAAATGTAGTGAGACAGTTTTACCACACGAAAATTATAATTTTTTAAATGTAAATTTATAAAAAAATTAGAACATGGATTTCAAAATAACCTATTAATTAATGAACAATAAATTATCATCGAAATTAAGAAATAAGCCGTTTAAATAAACTAACTTTTATAAATCCAATAATCAAATTTCAATAATGTAACTAAACTGTCAAAATTTTGATTGGCTAATTATTTTTTTTTATCCAACTTGATGAAAAATTCAAATCAGAATTTGTTGAAAAAACAAAAGAGTCGGCAGCAAGTAACGAAGGAGGAAGGACATGTAAAATGTTTCTTCTAATTCCTTTCCAAAACTCCTTTTTCCTAAAAAAATAAAGAGACAGGAAAATTAAATCTTCAATGTTTATTTATAAATACTTAACTAGTGTATAAATGTCAAAGGTAATATAAAATTTAACTTACCCATGGAAAATCATGTAAAACTGCCCGAAGTTCCCCCAGGTATTTGTAATATCTGCTTCTGTTTATGGACACTGAAAAGAAATACGTTTAACACTTGGACATCTCATATTTCACAGTGAAACACAGGTATTTTAATTAAAAACTATCATTAGTGACTAATTAAAAAACTACTTACTATAATTGAGTATTTAAGTAATCGTAAAGACGATAAATCTTTTTATTTACGTCTAAAATAGTGTCACAACTTTGTAGAGACATTTTGGGTTGGTTAGGTTATAAGCCATCTCTTGTCCGACTTGAGAAATTACTGTATAGCCAGTCAAAAGATTGCTACTTACATTAAGAAGCGCCGTGCAGTGAGTAGAACATTAAGCCATGGTAGCTAACTGTATTTTTGTCGCATAATGCGCCATTTTCGATCCAAGAATCGATCTTTAAATGACGTATTATATTATTTTTCGTTTTTAAGTTTATTTTTTTACATTTATGTAACAATTTTCTGTTTCTTTATCCCGTATTAGCCATAAAGAATCTTTGAACTCGCACTAAACCCTGATATTAACATTTTTCAAATAAAACTACAAGTTATATACAGAGTCTCAAATTTTTACTTACTTTTATTTCAATAATTCAAGAGTTGACGATATACGAGGTGCAGAGGTAAGTGTCTTAAATACATAGATGAAAACTTTTAAACCCATTATCTAAAAGAATTAAGTTATATCGTTTTATCACAATCGCGCATTGCATTAGCTAGTATTTCAGCCGGAGCATTAGGTACTTGGATGAATGAGGATGATTTGTAATCTAAATTACTTTTAAATAAAATAATACTTGGGTAATGTTACTCTTTATTAAAATATTCATTCCATTAGAATTTATGGCTGCTAAACGTGAAGCTCATTACAGTATGGTGCCAGACGAGGAGCCTTAATAAAAAAAAATTGTATATGATTAAAATAAATTAGAATAATTAAATTAAAAAAACGACATCATTACCCATAACAATATAGCTACTCAAACATAATTATAACATCCTCTTCATTACAATACATTTCCCTGTATTTACTATGTTTTGTATACTGTACCTATATTTTATTTGTATTTTAATATTTTTTATTCATATATATTATGACTTATTCTATATCATGTAACATGATCCTAAAGGACAAATAAACTATTATTATTATTATTATTATTATTTGGAAAAGCGCCGTTGTCACATTTACCGTTTAGGAGATAATTTAAGGAGTCAATAAGTCATTAGCTAATGAGAGATTTTAACAACCGTTCTTGCAACCGGCTGTAAGACATCGTAAAAAATGGTACCTAAATATGTCGCTCATTTGCGAAAATAACGGCACAATTCTAAATTCATCAATACTGAGATTATTGAACCAACATAATTGAAAATTCTTTATACAGAAACAATGACACTTATGTAGTTACAGTAGTATTTGCTTGATTGCGCTACTACCATTGACATTTTCCAAGTTTCAGTCTTGATTATCTTAAATTGAAATTTTTGAGTTGTACGGCTATCCTGGTAAGTGTAATTTCTTATTAAACATTTTAGACGCTATCACTTGGAAGAAGAACAGAAATACGCCCACTTAACACCAGGAAAAATATCAAACAAATTACGGGAAGCTCTTGGTTTAAATAAGAACCAGCTACCTCCTTACATTTATCAAATGAGAGTCCTAGGTTATCCCCCAGGATGGCTGGAAGAGGCTAAATTCGTATATTCCAATTTGGAGCTTTTCGACACCGATGGTAAACACGTTATACCGGATAACCAGAGGAAGAATCAAGGTTTAGATTACAAGAGAATCGTTGAATACCCTGGATTTAATGTTCCTTTGGAAAAAGATTGTGAAGATGTAGGTTTTTAATGAATTATAAGATTTGCAGCTATTAACTATTTTATTTTTAAAGGACTATAAACAGTACAGAGTTCCGCCATATTCTGAAAATTACAGCAAATCTGCGATGGTAGAATATTTTGAAAAAGAATATTCTAAACAACAGGATGATTTTCAAACTCAAGACATGGATGTTGATATGATTGAAGAAAGTACTAATGAAAAGTTATCTAGTAGGGTGAGTCATTATATTTTTATTCTTATCTACTAAATGTTTTAAATGAAAAATATTCCTGATCATGTTTTTAATGTAGATAATATAATATTTTGATAAATAATTGCAGATCATCCCAGTCGTAGAGGTGGAAAAGAATCCTCCATCACCATCTCTCGTTGACCTGGATCTAGTTGATTTGGAAAGTGAAAAATTAAACCTCTTAGCTGCATTAGAAGACAGCAGTAGTTCTAATTTAAAATCAGAAGAAAATACAAACGATGTTCCATCCTCTGATAATAATAAAGAACCTCCTCCTCCAGGCGAAGAACCAGAAATTGCTATCGCTTCAGCAGGAGCTACTTTAGATGAAACGCTCCCTAACGCGAACAATTTAGATGAAACTGTTCGAAACAAAAGCGTTTTAAACACCATGTTCGGTACTCCTATATTAAAAAGCAGTACCCCTTATTCCAGATTACCCAATCCTGATAACTTTATGAAAGACGTCAGTCCGGTGATTAATTTCGAAAATTTACCAAATTCAACTGGTAAATACAAAAAAATGACAGGCCTTTTGCAAAAGGTGAGACAGACTCTGAAAAATTTAGAGTCTTCATGATATTGAAGAAAGTCTTTGCAATTTTAGTACAAATCGGTTTTTTATAATAGAAAAAAATTGTTTGGATTTGGAATTCAAAACGAGGATTTTTATATTTTGATTTTATGGGAAAAATGAAGATAATATACTTTATATATTATAATAATTATAGGACTTGACAAATTTCGAACTTTTAAAATTATATATTTTTCATTGGAGACGAATATGACTTCTAGTTGTATTATTTCGATTTCCGACCAAATAAAATGTATATGAAAAGTTAGATATTAAAATAATAAAACAGTCTTACTTTATATAGTACCGGAAGTAAAAAATTCCTAGTTACCTAATAATCTAAGATTCTGGTTTAAATCGACCTTTCCTTTATCCTTTTTCCTAATTTAATACAAGTTTTATAGATAGTTATTGATAAAGAAATACGACTTAGCAGGATTGCCCATCAAAATATGGCTGCAAGTACTTTAATTCTATTTTAAGGTATATTTCTGTTATTTATAATGACAGAAGAAAATTCTTTTAACAAAAGTTGTTTATGATGTTATTCTCTATAATTGTTGTTTCAATCATAATTCTCTAAAATGGATCGTATTCGAGATATTTGAGAAAAAGTGCAAATTTCGAAGATCAGCTTAAAAGAAAAACACCAAATTGTAAATTTAAGCTTTAACCCATCCTGCGGTCAAATAATTTAATTTTGGGCATAGTCGGAACATCTGGGGGTACTTTATGGAAGCTCGTTTTTCTATTTTATAGAATATATCTGTTATTTACGCTTGGAGAAGAAAATTCTTCAAATAAAAGTTACTTATGTTAGCCCTTTGCTCATATAACTGCACACTGTCGGAAATTCACTTCAGTTAATGGAAAAATAACGACCCCGAAACTATTCACTTATAAAAGCTTGAAGATAACGTCTATACAACTAAATGAGTGGAACAGAGAAGTAAAACGAAATCCGTTTGACAATATCTCCAGTAAATCTGGAAAACCTCGTGCAAGACAGTTTTTACGATAATGAAAATTTTACATTATTCGATTCTTCATATCTTTTAAGACCATCTCACACACTTCTCTTAAGTATATCGCACCATTTTTGTAACGGGAAGTTTGTTAAACAGCACAAAATAGTTGTTTTCGTTACCTGTCAAATTTAGTTTTCTTGTCATACGAGGTTTTGCGGATTTACTGACGATATGCTAATACATTATCACCGTCTGACAGGTATAACTTATCTGCGAGAACAAAACTAGAAGCATTGAGATCCAGGCTCGATTGTGGACACTTTGAAGTTCGAAAGATGAGTGAGTGTTTAACGAAATGTCGAGATATCCTCTCTATTGAACGATTGAAATTGTAGTAAAATTCTGGTGAATTATTTTTAACTTGAGTGTGAGGGAGCGAAAAATTACAGTTAACATACGAGATAAAGGAATGTGGTGTGATTGCTGGATACGTGATCTTTAGCACGCGTCAAAAGCAATATATTTAGTTTGTACTACATCTAGAAATATATAAAATTGATATTTGCAGGTTGGGTAATAAGCACTTCTTGAATGTGTGGGTAGAGCAGGACGAGTCATTTACTGCACAAAATACTATGCATTATGTGAATGTGTGAGTCTTACACCAATAAATTTAACAGAGACTGTTGAATTTAAGACTTCTGAAATTTAAACAAAGGTGTCGATAAGGGCGAGTTTCATATCCTAGAAAAAACAGATTGGGACAAATACACCAATCTAAAACAAAATTTAGCACTTATACATGCTTATGCTCTGGATAGCCATCTCGAAGAACTAAATGAGGCAATAATACTTTTGGCATATGAATCGAGCTGCCCATTCAAAGAAATAAAACTAAGAGGGATACTCCTTGGTGGAACCGTCATCTGTCAAACTTACGATCCGAAGTGCGGAAGCTCTATAATAAGGTCAAGCACAGCGGATATTTGCAGAGCTACACTGAGGCACTTGCCACATACAACAAAGAACTCAGGAAAGCTAAATGTAACAGCTTTAAGAGCTGCGAGGAAATTATCTATACCTGCGGCAGCGAGACTGCACAAGGCCCTGTCAAAAGGGAGAGTTGATACAGTTATGGCGTTAAAGAAACCAAATGCAAGCTTCACGGAGAGTGAGGAAAAAAGGGCTCGCCTCTTACTCGAATTTCACTTTCCTGAGAGCACACACCTTTTCTAATAATGGACACAACTAAGGTAAGCAGACTCCCAAGAGAGGCCGCTGTAGTGGCTAAACACATATGCAGTAGCAATCGGTTAAAATGGGCCGAAACACTTTTGAACCGTTTAAGTCTCCAGGTGTGGAGTATAAACTAAAAATCCATCGATTGATTCCAAAAAATAAAAGAGAAAAACGAAACTTAGCTAATTTTAGCTGTCTACATACAGGTCATAATATTTAATGTATGTGTCACTATCTTAAATGGAAGATTCAGGTACCGTGTCTTAACATTATTGGATAATAAGTAAAACTATGATCTTCTAAAAGGTCTGTTTGCAAATTAGCCAGGTAACGTAACTAATGGCTTGACTTTCAAATTTTGAATCATCTAATACCTAATTCTATATTGAAAAATGATAAATTAATATTTTCTAACTCATTATTATTACAAATTAATATTTTTGGTTCTGTAGAAAGACTTAAAATTGAATTCAATTTGTCTAATACACTAGTTTCGTCAGCTTTACAATTGGAGTTGTAATTCCTTGCTGAAATACAACTATTTAAAATGTTTTTAAAGCAGATATAAAATGGTAACAATTAGGAAAAGTATTGGCAGCACCAATTGTGCCAAACATATTTTCAACTGGGTCTTGGCTTAAAGCACGGGTTAAAACCCTTTTTGTCAGCATTCATTCATAAGAAGTTTAATTGTAGTTAACCAACCAGTCTTAAAAGGCATCACCTTCCATTTTTCGGTAGAAACTGCCAGGATTTTATTTTTGTCAATATATTCCAAAATTCGAGATGTTTTGATCTCTTTGAAGCGCACTGCCTAAGATATTTACCAGAAACTACATTTGGTTTATTACCATTAGGGCAGTCAAAGATTATTGGATACAGTGTAGTTTGTAATAATAATGGAAAAATTCATCAGGTGTATGATTTGCAATGTTTCAGTAAATCTTTCTTGCACTTTTTTGTAAGTATTTTAGGAGCTATTTTTTTCACCCGTTCTGACATCCCTCTATTAGTTTTTGAAACTTAGCTGTATCGTGAAAAGAAAGGGTGACATAATCACCTTGTCGACTTCGGAACAATTGTTTTGCCAGAGACGGCTCTAGGCAAAACAAAACTAATGGCTTGGGCAAAACGAAGTATTTCAACAAATACATTCATCAAAAATAAATGTTCTGGCCTGTATCTTGTTTTAGCAAAAACACTATTCGGAATCTGATAGATAAAATTTCTATTCTAATGAGAAAACTGTGGAAGCGGGAAAAATAAAATTGAAATAATAAAATATGTTTTATTGCAAGATTTCTAATATACATTCATGGTAGGTAGTGTATACAAAATATTTACACTTGAAGTGAAATTACAAGCATTTTGATACATTTATAAATGCGCAGGAATGTAGCTATATTTCCAACTGAAAAACATTTTTTTTTTAAATAAAAGATATATTTTTAAAGCTTATAAATTGCAGAAAAGGCCTGAAATATATATATTTTTAAGATCAATTAAACATACATAATAAAAAATTGATTACAAATACCCAATGTCATTAAATCCCATCTTGTTACTCAAACGAGTTTGATTTGATGTCATTATACTTCAGATCCATGATTTACACAATGAAGATAAGTAAGTAAAAAAAAATAAAACCGCTCTTTTGAGCAGTATCAAAATGGCATTTAGAGATGCTAGTCAATAACTGTTAGTACGTGCATAGTTCCAGATTTTTCTAATAATTGCGAAAAAAATATAATTACAACCTAAATATGTAAAACCTTCAAAATAATTACCTATTTTATTCCAACTATTCATATTTTTTTTTTGTTATTTTTATAATATATATTAGGAATATAAGAACTCTAAATTATATACTTTTATTGAAATACCGTGAACCCACAAGAAAATGACATATTTTTATATTTCTCTGTCAAAATTGGATGTTATTCCGATGACGATGGCGGACTTGGTGGAGATCCTCCAGAGTTCTGTAATAATAAAAACAATGTAACATCGCACATTTTTTTCAATAGTGACACAATTCAGAATTGATTAGTGAACAATCAAAATTGATTTAATTTAGCTTATTAAATACTACTAGATTGAAGTTTTGATGTATTAACTCAAAAGATGTTAATTTTGAGTTGTGTCACTTTTGAAGCAAAAGTAGTTTACAGTGAATACATGCACTCTAGATTATTTTTGAAAACAACTTCAAGGAAAAAAACACTGATGTAAGATTGTTTATTAATCATATTTATGGTAATAACTCAAAAGATGTAAATTTTGAGTTAAGTCACTTTTGAAGCAAATGTTAGTAAAACAACAGATGCACAACTAGATATCTTTTGAAGACAACTATAAAGATAATTTACTTACATTCCCATTGTTATTTGGTTTGGAGCTTCCTTCGTTGGTCTGAAGTCTTGGACGAAAATAATACAAAAATAATGCTGTGATCAGGGCGAGGGTCAGGAATAAGAACTGATCTGGATTACTTGCACCACTTGGTCCTCCAGTACCTTAAAAACAATCACTTTTAAAATCTTCATGTAAACAATTTTTGTAATATGCAGAATAGACCACAATATCAGATGATTGACGTTTCTAGCAGTAACGGCCTAATTTACAAAGGATATATAAAAGTATCTCTAAATTATAAATGACGTTTATTGTAGAAAAAAATTTCAGGAATGTGTAATGGTAACAATTGCCATATATTAAAAGAAGAATTCCATTCCATTCATTATAAAAATTATGGAAACAAGATGTTTAAAATACATAAATTGTTATTTAACCCTATACTGATATATCATTCTTAAGATCATTTGTCCCAGAAGTAAACTAAAATATTTATAAATTTAAGGCACCGTTTTTAAACCTTTTTACATCTAACATCTAAGCTATAATGTCTGGTTGCCATATGTTTTAAGACTTAGATCCTCTCGTTCAGTTTTTAACAAGCAACAAAACGAAAGTTATGAAAATGTTCAACTTGTAGTGAGTTGCCATATGTTTTAATCCTCTCGTTCAGTCATTAACAAGAGTAACCTATGTAACCCTTCAGCGAAAGCAAACAATTTTTCGAAAGCAGAATATAACTTAGGTCCGTATTTATTTATAAACAGAACTCGGCTGAGTCGTCCTTAAACGAAAATCGAAGTTCGGTTATATGCGTGAATTTAGAGATGGGTAGTAACAAATCCGTAATGTACTTAACAGTTACAGATTTGCTAATATCCATCTCTAAATTCTAGTGTAACACCGGAACAACCTGGAACTTTAGAGACGTTGTAACTGAACTTTGATTTTAGTTTAAGGACCACTTACCCAAGTCCGACTCAGCTGAGTTCAATTTATAAATACGGACCTTAAACATGTCCTATTGAAAAAAGAAGAATTCGTTGTTTGGCATAGAAAATATTTAAAGGAAATACGTAGAAATCGCAATGATAGGAAAACATTTATTATGTGGACGAAACCTGGATTAATCAACAGCTTAATGTATTGTTTGATTGATTCAATGTGGAAGGTATCATAGACGAAGGCTTTGTAATTCGGAACGCTCATCCTAATAATAAAAAAATTCAATTTTTACATACTAAAATACTTTTTCCACATACATTTCATTTGTACAATTTACCTGACAAAAATAATAATATGGGTAGAACTATAGCACAAGTAGAAGTTGTAAAGGCTTTTGGTAGGTAGAGAGGGGAAAATTTCGTACTGTTTACCTGCCAGTGTCGTTTCATAGAATAAGTAATTTTAAATTGTTACCGGCGGAACCGGACAATCGCAAGTACTTATGGACTATAAATTCGGTTAGATCCGTCGCAAACCTGTCAATTTATGTGTATAAAGTGGGAGAAATGGCAAAAGCCTTTTCAACTTCTACTTATGCTATATTATACAAAGCTATAGTCAACCACAACTTTAACTGTTAGAGTCGATGAAAATACAGACGGTGACAACAATTTTGATATTGAATTTTAAAATTAGGTTTTGTTTTTGTTTGCCAAAATTTAATATAATATACGTAGAGTCTTTTTTAGTGTAGTTTTTATTTTGACGAAAAAAAGAAAATATTTAACGGATTTTTGACGGAAATCTACCACACTGGATGAGTTAGGAAAATTATAAAAAAATATTTTTAAATATGATTTTATTTTCTGGAATCTCTGGTATTTTTAAGATGCGCGCGCAGCCTTAAAGAGTAGCCGCCCCTGATATCGACGATGAAAAACAGCCAAACAATTAATTTTAGGGACTTATTTGGTTATTTATTTTTGAAGATTCGTATTATTTTTTTTACGATTATTTTATTTAACTTTTACGACGATCCGTATTTAATTTTAATTTTCGGACGATTCGTTTTTTTTTATTATTTAAGTTTTACGATTAGTATTTGTTTTATTTTATTTAAATTTTACGACGATACCTATTTTGTTTAAATTTTAGAACATTCGTATTTTATTTTTTTTATCAAATATTACGATTCATAATTCATTTTTTTTTTTTTTATTTTACAATTCGTATTTTATTTTTCTTTTATTTAAATTTAACGACGATTCGTATTTTACTTTTGTTTCATTTAAATTATACGATTCGTATTTTACTTTTGTTTTATTTAACTTTTACGACGATCCATATTTTATTTTTAATTTTCGGATAATTCGTGTTTTATTTTTTTTTTTTTTTTTATTTAACTTTTACGACTAGTATTTTATTTAAATTTTATATTCTATTTTGTTTTAATTAAATATTAGAACGAATCGTATTTTATTTTTGTTTTCTTTAAATTTTGCGACGATTCGTATTTTTTTGTTTTATTTAAAGTTTACGATTCATATTTAATTTTTGTTTTATTTAAATGTTACGATTCGTATTTTATTTTTGTTCTATTTAAATTTGACAATTCGTATTTTATTTTTGTTTTATTTAAATTTCATGACAATTCATATTTTATTTTTGTTTTATTTAAATTTTAGGATGATTCGTATTTTATTTTGGTTTTATTTAAATTTTATGACGATTTGTATTTTGATTTTGCAACGAAATGTCTCGAAATTAGACGGTCATATTTTAACAGAGTGTTAAAAGTGAAGTCCTGATGACACACTTTTGTAAATATTTTCTAAACGTTTAAAGATAACTAAGTGAAATTTGGTACAAATGCTTACCTTTTTATGCCCTATTTAATGTACTAAACCCTAGTTTTTGATCATCTTCGTAGGTGGGTAAATTAGGGGGTTTAGGGTAAAATTGCCCTGTTTTTAACATTTTTGACTATAAAATTTGGAAAATCAATGTTTTCTTTATAATAAAGCTACTTTTGTTGCATCTCGGTAAGACGCACCATTTTCAAGAGAAAAGCAATTGAAAATTTCTTGATAAGTTGATGTTATCTTATTTGAAAGTGTAAACAATAATTAGTAGGCCTGTGGAATCAGAAATTTTATTTTTTTTTAACTTTGTAAAACCGGTGACTAAAGAAATTTTAGAAAGTATTTACAAAAATGTGCCATCAGGACTTGTAACACTCTGTATCTCGAAAATGAAACGTTTTCGGACCTATGTTTATATGAACTTTTACTCCTATTTTAGGATGTAGATTATGCTTTTAAAATATGACCATCTAATTTCGGAATATCCTGTATATATAGGTATATTTTATTTTTACAATCATTTATAAACAGGGTAGTCTTTAGTTAATGGTCCATAGAGTAATGGTATATAGCATATTGGCTTTAAAATATTACAATCTAATTTAATTTAATGAAATATTAAATAATAAAAAAGTTGCAGAAATATTTTTTTTTTTAGTAATAATTTAACTTTTTTTTCTGCTACCATGCGGAAAATATGTACTTTACGCGGAGTGTCTAAAGTTGTCCTTTTTTTTTTCACTAGTGCGTAAAGTGAAAAAAAAGTAAGTTTTATATTTCTAATATTACTTAGTGGATAATAAGTACAGTAGTGGAAAAAATATTGTATGCAACTCGTGTGGAAAGTCCCTTTTTTAAAAAGAGTAAGTTTATACACTTGTTGCATAAATAACTATTTTGTTTGCTTTTAAAACACTGTTTGTTAGTGTTTTTTATATTTATTTTTTATTTGTAAGTTACAGATGTGTAAACTTTAATGAATCTCTAACAAAGTTGGGTTATATTTTACAGATTGTTATTTAACTACTGATATTTAAACATATCACCAATTTGACATTATTTACATGTTCTATCGATTTCATAAATGATTTTCAGAAAAATACTAACTAATATTTCATTTATTATTTGAATGTAATTAATCACAATAAGGATTTAAATTGTAATTAAATTTCGTCCAGGATTTACAGACAGGTAAACATTGAAGGTCGCATTTTTAAATTATTTATTTTTTAACAGACTGTAAATATTTATCATTAATATTTTAGTATTCAGAAAATAATTCTAACAAATACAATGTTAACAATTCAGTATTCGTAGCAAAACGGCAAAATTAACTGATTATTAAACGGAATTGTTATCTACTGATAGTTGCTTATCAGAGTTATTACCAGGGAATTTTTTACAATGCAAACTAAAACTGTTTTAAAAATTTTACCAGGCTAATTAACTTTTACTTTAATAACATTTTATTAATACTAAAGGACAAATATACAATGGTTAATCAATTATTGATTTTTTATCTAAAACCATGGCTGACCCCTTTGGTGTATTTCTGACCCACATACAATAAACAATTGCCAAATATTTTAACTTCATCTACGTTCTAGCATTTGTAATGCTTCTTGAAAGATTGTTGTTTTACTCATAGTTTATTGAAAAAATGAACAAAATATAATCAAAGATTTTGTCTATATTTTCCTATCAGGTTAGAAAACCAATCCGATTGTAATTTCAAGGAAAATTTAATATAGGTAATTCAAAAATGTATGTTGTAAAAACATAATACCTTATTAAAATTATTAAATAGTAATGGTTTTTTAGCATTAAAGATAAAAAAACTTGTTAATAGTTAATAGACTATGCAAAAACTTGATTTAAAATTATATAGGTACCTAGGTTCATTTAATTAAGAATTTATACTAAAAAAAGTTTTGAATAATTAAAACATTGTAAAATTCGGTAAAAATTTACTGACTTACCATCATCAAGACATTCATTATCAGTACAATAGGACTGGGTGTTTCTCAACTAAAAAATTTAAAGTATTCTAAACTTGTAGGTAATTTCTATAAATACATACCACATTTAGAAGACGTCTCATAGACAGTTCATGGTTCCACTGTCCCCAAACAATTTCACAAGGATCAAATCCTTCATTGCTCATATTTTCCCAGATCTGTGAAACAATAATTGCCATATTAGTTCCAACTAAAACTTCAATATGTTAGAAATATTACCTGAAAGAACGTTAACAAAGAATTTGTAAATATCACAGACGAAACAGTTTGAAGTATGGTTCAGATTTGGGATATTTTTATTATTAAAATGTTTCCATTTGGATTGCGTTGTTTATTTTTATATGCAATCGTATGCTTTTGTGTATTTTACAAAACTCTATACTGTCAAAACCATCTGTCAACGTAACAAGTTTTGACATTTGACGGGCTTTTGGAACAGTGTTGTCTGTTTGCCAAGTAAAAATAATTAGGATTTACTACTTTCATTAAAATCTTTGAGCATATATATTTCATAAACACGAAGATTAAAATAAAGTGTATCTTACACAATACAAAATAATTTTAACAAGCAAGATAAAGATCCTATAACAAGTAGATGAGAATGAATTATATGATTTTATATTTTTTATAATTATGCCAATGAAATGAATAAAGTCATGCAATTAACAATGCACGCAAGTAATATTGGTTGCAGAGATGTTAAATGATGGGCTTGTTAAAGATCATTAATAGTAGTTTTGATAAAATTTATATTATTATAATCTTAACAAATTAGTCTATGAACAGTATTATATGTTTACTCTGTCCGGCCGTCCGATGTCATGTTTTTCTCCGCACGATAAGTTAAAAACAAAAAATGATATTAACTTAAAAATTTTAGGAAAAATCAAGCTCTATAAGGGGACAAAGCCTATTGATTTAAATATTCTCAATAAAATGGGAGTCAAGGGGAATTGAAATAAAAAAATTAGAGATCAAAAACCAAAAGCGATATTAACATGAAATGTTTAGCAATAATAAAGCTCTATAAGGGAATAAATAAATAAATAAATAAATAAAAATGTGGATACAAGGAGGGGCTGAAATATTAAGAAAACTTCTAACTCAGAAAAAAAAAATCGATATCAAATTGAAAAAATTAAGCTTTATAAGGGGATTAAGCACATTGATTCTGAATAAAATATGATTGAAAATAAGGGTTAGGGGGGTTTGTTAAACTGTGAAGAGTAATGTCAAGCTTTATATAACTCCATTTTACTTTTATTATATAAAAAATAGAATTACTAAACATAGGAATTTCTATATGGGCCAATTATAATTGTTTTACAAGTACTCTGTTAAAGAAAACATTCTTATTGCATTACTTTTTTACATTACTTACAAAGGTTGAATAATAATTCATTAATCAATTGTTTTTGATCAATCGTAAACTATATATAATTTTATTAACACTTTATAAAACCGTCCAGAGTTTTTTAATGATTATATGTATTTCAATAACAGTTCTCTGATTTATCGTAAATAAAATTGAAATTTATAAAAGATTTCAACCTAATTTTTATTGTAAAAATATTTATCAATGTTAAATATAGTAAATTGCTGACTTAAAAAGCTTCTTTTTTTAATTTGGTGACATCGGCATCAACTACTAACGTTATTAGCCTCGTGTGCAGGCGTTGTTATCCCAGCTAGCACCGAACGTCGTTTCACGTCATAATCACGTTGAATTTTGGTCAAATACGTCGATGTGATTTTTTGACGCAAAAGTAACGTAATAATGACGTCATTTTCGGACCAATTTGACACGTAAACACAGTTGTTGCGAACAAAATACACCTATTTATGTCATAAATGCAATTCGAGTTTTTGTTATTCATTATTAGATAAATAGAAGGTAATTTATACAACATCGTTTATTTTGCGGTCATTATGACACCAAAATAAGACGTACTATGACGTTATTTAGGGACTAGTTTGTCACGTTCTGAAATGAGGCGTTAAACTGCGCACTAGTACACGTCGATTCTATACCTTTATTGTTTTACATTCTATTTATTAATAAAAGTATCTTTAGTGTTTATAATAAATTTATGATTCTCATTTTAAATCTAGGGATTTTTGGGAATTTTCATTTTTAAATGAAATTTTATGTCAACACTGTTTAGAAATGTCAGCTGTCATGTCATTGTCCACGGTTAGCGGTTCACGCCATTTTGTGTTATTTTTGTAACTTGTGTTTGGAACATTCTTTTATTGTATGATTTTGTATGTGTTTTGAAGGTAAGTAGTTAGGAAGTTTAGTGCGATATTATTGTTTATTTTTAGTATGTTTATAGGAATTCAATACGCCGACAAGCACGGTACCGGAGTATTATTAAACCACTTTAAGTTCTAAGTGGCCGACATCCTGGTAAATGAGGTTCTTATAAACAACAATAATCTTTTAACAAGAGCTTAAAAAAGGAAAAAATTGGACTCTTTCCTATTTATAGAACATATTTTACCGAAGGTGAGTGATTTTTTATATTGTAAAGGTGCCTGTAGCTAGCCTAATTTTGTTTTAACTATTAACGTAGACATTAATATAAACAAAAATTTAAGGATTTTAAAACAAAACCGTTCATAAAGATAATTTAAACATACACATTCCTAAGATTTGAGCATAAAGTTGATTTTTATTTATCTTTACTATGTTAATGTTGATGCCTATGTTATTCTGTATAAACAGGTACATTGAAATAAATTGATAACTTTTATGTTGAAACTAAATCAGGCTGACTAAACTCACCTTTAGACAATTAAAACACTGGTCTATGTATTATTACTAAAACCTTTCCCTTTATGTACTGTGGTTTTAATTACACTGTTTTATGAAATTATTTTGCATTATATACCTTGATATTATATTTTTTGAATTTTTGTTGGTAACTGAGACCTATTATAGTTATAGTATTTCGTAAACCATCTCTGTGAGCTGTTTTATTTATTTAAAAAAGTATAGTGTATAAAATTATTAATCTGTTTTAGAGAATTACCAAATAGCTAGCCAAAAAGCAACAAAGGTTCTTATGACATAGGATATAACAAGTGATGATGAGTTACAACCTCTTCCTTGTAAAAGAAAGCCATTAAGAAGAATATTTTCAAGTGAAGCTGATGAATTCATTATTAACGACGAACCTATTGGTAGGTAAGCACTGCTTTGTCTAGCAAAACTTATTTTTTATTATGAGTAAAATTCATACTTTTGTGACAATGTTATAAGTACATTTCTTTTATTCCGAACAACATTTTTTTCTTCAAATGTCAATAATTATTTTTCACAATTATTAAAAATCTCACCTTTACATTCAAAAGAGTTTGGGGGTAAAATAATTTTTCCTCTTATTAATATATACCTTGTAAAAGTAATAACATTTCTTCATTTCATTAATTATAAAAAAGTCAGGTTAACCTGGTTTAAAATTCACAATTTTACATCACTTTAAAACTTAGCATCATAAAATTATTATTAAAATATTAGGTTTTTGACCCATGAAGAAATACTAAATTTTGTGTTAGCTAGGAGCATCTAGTACTCTTTAGCCAGGCGCATATTAAATTTTTTCATTGATTTCTCTTGACAGATCTGATTTTATTTATCTTGTTAAATTTGTGAACCATCAAATATATCACTTTTGTGACAGCTTAATGATATAAAACAATTTCTGTCTTTCTCGGTCAATGCTAACTCTATTTTTTGGCTCAAATTTTATTTAAATAATTAAGTTTCTGGTAGTTATAACTATTATATTTTTGTTTTAGTGAAACGAAAATTTAATAAGGATACCATTGAAGCTGCTTCAAGCCTGTATATTCGGAATGATTTGTTGAATATCTGGACACTGCTATATAATCTTTTGTAATTTATACATTCTAAGTACATATTCTAAGAAGTAATGTTTATTTAGTAATAGTTCAGGTTAGTATACTATGTTTCAATTCAGAAATTTTATGCAGTAACCTATCTTTTTTTATATAAAACATATTTTTGTTAAACATTTTTTAAATAAAACGTTTTTTATAAACATTTTTTTACAAATTAAACATTTTTAAATGAATATTATGGTGTTTTTTTGACGTCTAAACACGTTATCTGGTGACGTGTTTATCACGTCACTGTATGACGTCTTTGATCTGTGACATATTGCCGTCATAATCACGTCACTAGCACGTCATAAATTGGTGATTTCGACGTAAAATGTGCCGTGTATTTCACGTGAAAATCACGTGTCGGTGCTAGCTGGGATTGTTTCCCAGCGCCACTTTAGCAATAGCACTGTTAATTAGAACCCAACAATGAATGGTCGAGTAGAGAATTCTACAAAAACTTATTATTGCTTTCTTTATAATTTACCCCTTACGAACGAACACATGAAACTCTGAAGCAATTGTACAAGGAAGAGAGGATTTTTAATCTGGATGTAGTCTCAACACAAATTAAATTTCTACTAATACGACACCCTTCAAATACTACAATGAACCATGCAAATTAATATCACCAATGTATATATCAGAGAACTAGTTAAAAACTTTGAAAACGTGGCAACGCTGTGTTTTAACGTTAAATAGAAGGGGGACTGGCTATTCATCGAAAGGAAATCTAGTAAATCTGTATACATGGAGGTTTATGATTGGCTATATAATAATTAAAAAAATATATTATGCTTTAACCAAAATTATTGAGTTTTGGATCACTTACAAATACAAATTGTTGATTTATGATAATGAAACAGTTACGCATATAAAGATTGTTTTTAAAATTTAAATAAATAAAAAACAATCTACACCTATACCCACACCCACCCATAGATAGGTAGGTATAAAAAAATAATAAGGTTTGGGTATACATACCTACCACTTTATTTAGGCCATCTATTTTTTGGAAAGTGATTTAAAATTAAAGTACATCACAATTCATTAAAAAGTCGCCTTAATTTAATAGCGAGTTCATTAATATACCCATGCCATCGATTTGTTTTATACTGAGTGACCCATTAGTGCGGGCAGTGAGTCCAATATTTCTCTAATCATAAGAAATATGAGAGAAGGTTTTAGATAAAATTTGTAGGATCTACTTTTTTGTATATTTCTAAAATGGTGCGAAATATATACAGAGTGTTCCGCTACATCGGGACAGCTTATAAATGTCGATGTTTTTAAATAACTCGCCCTGTATACTTTTTCACCATTGATTTCCGCGTAAAATATTTAATTTTTTTTTAATTTTGCGACGTTGACAAATTTATGGCAAAAAAGGTGAAAAAAATACTGAAAAATTGTTCATTACAAAAAATTATTAAAGCAAAAAACTTTGTGATTGGCAGTTGAGTTAAAATATTTGGTAAATACAAAGATAACGGTTAACTGGAAGGTCTGAGAGGATATAAAACGTTTATTTTTTATACTGGCGATTTTATATAGGGTACCTTACTCTAACTTGCTAACAATCTTTAAACATCTAAAACTTCGGTTTTTCAAATTGAAAACCCCAGCGGAGTAGTTACGGGGGTTTGGGGGTTGGAACCATTTCCGCTAAACTATTGGCACTGATCGCTATTGACTGTTTTTTATTCACTTTCTTGATGGACCCCCCCTCCCCTAGTTCTCAAAAACCGTTTCCATGAAAAATCGTTGGTTATGCCACTGAAAAACCCAGTATATTATTTTACTATTTGGTATCTTTTTTATCATAATATAAGCCTTGAAAGTGATAGTTTTTAACAAATAGAGACCATAGAAACATATTGGACTTCCACGTTCCAAGTCTCACTTCGAATTCTGTCTACGTTCCATTTAACTTTTTTAATGGGACACCCCAAATTTGTAGACTTCACTCGCTACTTGAAAGGGACATAGGTGCCGTTTAAAAAATGTTCAGGCTATAGTCGAAAGCCGTTGCAAAAAATCACAAATCCGGGGGGCGTCTATTAAGCAGGAAGTGGGATAACTGCAAAGGCAGGTATCTTCCCAGTAAACCACAAATAGTTAGCATTCGCTCGGCCTGACACCGGCATGTACGGGAAGCCGAGTACTCGCATTGCCGTTATCGAGGTTTCTTCTGAGCCGGGAGTACCGTACCATTTGACGTAATTTAGAAGTAGAAACCGCATGTGGTCCGTATTTGGCTTTGTAGACATGGGAGGCATCCTTACGAGCCGAACGTGGTGAATATTTGGCTAGCCGGGCATGGGAGGCATCATTACGGACCGAACTATATACAGTGAGCATCATAAGTCTTACCCCCCTATCTAACTCGTTACTGGAGTCTTGTTAGGAAAATCGCCGAAACACGTCGATTTTTGATTTCTACAATGTACATTTGTGTATGAATAGTTTACTCTTAATTTCATCCCTTACTGGAGGGGAGCAACCCTTTCGAAAAATTTAAATGGCATTAGGTGGTGAGTGATAGCTCATTTGAAAGGGGGGTTTATTCTCTATTCAACCGTGCAAAAAATTTGCTTCATTAATTCTCGACTAATTATTGTTTCATAATAACGGAAATTAACGTAGCGCACTCATCCTTAGAATTAAAATTCGGCCCTGCATAATATCGGTTTTGGTTCAGACGTGAAGTAAGGCCTTTTGTCATTAGATAAGGTCACTGTTAGTTTAGGTGCTTTCCTAGTTGTGATGTTTTGTTATTTTTAAACATTAATAAATCAACACGTAATGAAGCAAATTTCAAAATTTTTTGCACGATTGAATAGAGAATAAAACCCCCTTTCAAATGAGCTATCACTCACCACCCCATGACATTTAAATTTTTCGAAAGGGTTGCTCCCCTCCAGTAAGGGATGAAATTAAGGGTAAACTATTCATATAAAAATGTACATTGTAGAAATCAAAAATCGACGTGTCTCGGCGATCCCAATAATTTTTCCTTGGAAGTCATATTTAATATTATTTCCAACGCTTGTTACAAAAATATTTTATTATTTCCTTTTCCTTATTTTGTTATTAATTTGTTTGCTAAAATTTGCACAATTCCCCGTTTTGCCCCACCTATGGGGCACATCGGGGTACGTTCGAACCATGTAGAAAAAATAATATATTTAGGATAATAATGGTTATATATTGCTGCATAAATATCAAGCTTCATGGCTACAACGTATTGAGAAGAGTTCACATTATTAATCAACATTTATAATAAATTATAGTAGTTCAACACATACGTGAGGCGGAACGGGGTATGCCCCGTTCTGCCTCTCCCCATTCTACCCCAGGAGCATGCGTTGCGATTGTGACTAAATAAATTACAAAAGTTTTAAACTAAATAATTTGGTTTTATGAGGAAAAGGTACCGTAAGAGAGGGGCTATCTTACTATTCCCCACAAAATATAAGGCTAGTAAAATTAAACACTTTCCGTAGTTTGCAAATTCGTCAATTTTTACAGTGGACTTTCTTAGATCATGCATTCGACGTTATAGCTCTCGAAAGACTACCGGTAATTTGGAACCGTTAAATATATCATCTTTACAGTTACATAAAGTACGTTAACTAACGCATCAAACAAAGTAAAGATGAGACGCTTAATTATATTTGTACGTGAGAACATAAAGAGAGTAACTTTGGTTTAACTACGCCCTTTCGATGGCAAGGAGGAGGTATTGCATGCAGTCCGCAGTTGGTGGTATATATAATTCTGTTTCTATCTATTCAACAGCACTGTTATTCTATACCGGTCTCCAGTGAGGTTATAGTCAAACTTGAGAGATAGTGAATTTCACAAGATTTTCATGAGAAAAGTCATACGTCAACGTAAAAACTGTATTTTTAAAGCCAGCGAAAACTCACTGAATGTTTTTTTCGGTTAATCTTGAGTATAATTAAAATTCTTCTAAGATTGATACTTTTCGTAAAAATCTTGAGAGAAATGGGTCCCCCCAAGTTTGAAAATAGGTGGAGACATATTTTCAAAGTCATTTTTGAAAATTTAACGCAGTGTATATATCACTGTACATCTCTAACATTTCAAAAATACTTGTGATACTTTAGAAACCTAAATGTATGGCAGTATTCGATTTCAACACTTGTTTTTTGATAATTTTTAATTAGATTTAATGACATCGAAAGAAAATAAATTTTTGAAAGACTTTCTGTATTATGAAAAGTTATTCCGCTACTGTTTATATAAATATGTAATAGAATTAAGATTGCAATGAAACTAACATAATATTAATTTGCTGATTCAGCAATTCGTGGTATATTATCTAGATGCATCGGCTTTAGAGAAATACCCTTTAAAATGGTAAATGTAAAATCATCGGAGCGAAGATTACAGTGTTTTCCACTTTTCTTTCCTATTAATCAAAAATATGTGACCCACATTATTCTTTTGACGGCTGGACAGCATTATATACATATCCACAAGTTGCAAAGCCCTAAAATTATTAGCCAGAATTGAGAGCTTCTTACAGGGAGGACGAGAAGAGAAGGCGGAGTAGCGGTAAAATGAGAGTTTTCTGGCTGCGATATTGGTTCTGTATTATTGTTCCGTAAACACTAATCTGGTCTATTAAAGTTTACATAAAGAATTATTTAGCTCTCTATACCAAAATTATTCTTAAAGGATTGTTCTATAAACGTTCTTAAAGAAAATTTATAAAACAATGATAGAATTGCTCCGAAAACGTTTATGCAACTGTATTTTTAATCTATAAACTATAACTGTAACTTGATATTTAAAAAAAAATGAAAGTATAAGGAAAATAAATTACGTTAAGTTACGTTACTTAATTTATTGTCTCTATACAGATATATACGTATTTAGCCTAAGGAATTAAATTTGTTTTCAAACGAGTCAACTGAAGGTGCGCATACAACGTTATCAGGTAAATTGTTCCAAATAGAAAAAATTCGGTTTGAAAGAAAATTTTGCCTAACTCTAGAGATAAACTTTTCTTTTTTTAATTTGAACATATGCCCAGAAGTCGGTGCTTTGGAACTCTATCAAAGGCCTTAGGAAAATCCAAGTATATAACATCTGTAGGAAGACCTAAGGCTTTTGTCCAGTCACTAACAGACTGCAGGATATTAGTTAAGGTAGATCGTCCTCTGATAAATCCATGTTGTTGGGTGAGAAGTACACGTTCGTTTACAAGTAAGTCAGTTACCTTATCATTATGGACTCCATTACTTTATAAGCTATTAGGCGCTTTCCTTTTACAAATTTACTTAGTTAGTTTGACTTGCATGTGACGTCAGTCAGATATTTTACTAAGTAATTTTATCCCAGAAAATTATAATCAAAAGGAACGGTCTTTTAAGTAAATTACCTTACTTGTATTATTTTGACAGAAGACAGAACCAGAGAGAAGACATATGTCTTATCTAGAACAGAACTTTAACCTTAAATCCTTCCGTACTTCGAAGCAACGCGTATTGGTTCTCCATGCCTCTAACAGGAACTTTTCGTAATAGAAATTTAAATAACACAGATCATAAATAAATAATAATAACTACGCATAACCTCAATCAACGCCATAACCAACAAAACGACCATAAAAACATTATGATCAGTGACATAAAACATCAACTTGTTTACTCTCCTTCTAACTTAGATAAAAATCTTATTTCTTAGCATGGTCGAGAGTAACCTTATTAGGGGAAGGGGAGAGTAAAAAATCTTAGTTTGCTTTACTTAGTACTTATAAATGGAACATGCAAAATATCAAGGTCACATCGATCTAAGTAAGATTTCCTAAGTATTCTGGTAAAAGGAAAGCAACAATTGTTACAAGGCTTATCGGTCTATAGTTATTTGGATCAAGCTTATTGTCCTTTTTGAATCTGACAGTCACTGACGCAGTCTTCCATATAGATGGTAAGATGTAAAAATTAAAGTAGGAGGTCATTATACGGGAAATGGGATAACAGAGAGTGTCAGTACAAGACTTTAAAAGAAAAGACGAGATTCCATGTAAGCCTGGAGAGGAGTTGGACTTAAGCATTTTAAGTTTCTCTTTTATGTCTGGGCCAAACGATACGTTGGAAATAGAGGCCTGTATTCTGTTTAGTGAAATATCCGGAAGTGGTGATGTCAGATCTTCAAGGGTGAAGACATTACAGAAGGTGTTAGAAAGAAGTTGAGCAGATTCAGTTTTGTTGTTGGCACACTTATCTCCGTCTTCTATTTGTAGAAGTACGGACACTTTGGAAATCAGATTTGTTCTAACATATTTATAGAACTTTTTGCTATCAGTACAGTTGGCGATGTACTCCTGATAGTTATACTTTGCTTCAATAACTGCGGCCTTTAGTTGATTGCAGAATAGTCGATGAGCAGAGAAATCGTTCATATTGGTGGTTCGCCTAATTTTTTTCCATAGGTGTTTCACCATAGACAGCAGTTGATTATTTATCCACGGTTTCAGATTTGTTCTTCTATTTATTTTGTTTTTAGTATGAGATTTAACACAATCATTAACCGTATTTTGAAAGATATGCCACATCATTATTTTCAGGGATAATATTAATCCAGTCTAGTTGGTCTGGATAGGAAAAAACTTCAGCAAAGTTTGTGAGTGAGAAGATAGTGTAATTGATTGTGCAAGAAAAGAATGATTGAAATTGTAAACGACTCGTTATAACTGCATGAGCAGATATTCCAACTGGTGGGAGATACACCGGTGGGGTTAAGAGTAGTTCATCATTGGTAAATAGTAGATCGAGGGTAGAAGGCTTCTGATTTATTCTAAATCTCGTGGGATGAACAAAACTAGAATTGTGGATAAATTCCATGAACTGTTATTGGCCATTTAATGTCTGGAAAATTGAAATCACCTACTATAATCAGCTTTTCAGAACCACTAAGGACATCGAGTTTGTCTAGTAGAGCCGCGTCAGTATCAACAGGTGTGTCTGGAGGACGGTAAATAACTGCAAGAGTAATACGGCAATTGAGATGTTACAGCTGCAAACAAAGATAATCAATACGAGGAACTGAGATATCTACGGATGAGATTATAAAACAATCTAAGATATATGTTGAGCTACATATATACATACTTCCCCTCCTCGTCTATCAATTCGATCATATCTAAAAATCTGTTAATTAGAAATAGAGATTAATCTGTCTGGAATATTTACATTGAGCCACGTTTTGGTAATTAAAATAAGGTCCGGTTTTTCAGATTGAATAAGACAAATAAATTTCTGTACAATAATAGCCAATCATTGAAAGTTGAAGATGAACCAGTTAATGCTAAAATTTTTGTACGATCTTTGGAGATCCATTAATGTACTTGATAGTTTAGTCGTCAGTGCCATTTCGATTTTTATTTGTCAAATCCTTGGTTAAATTATTTTCCATCAGTTTACGCTTCGAGCGAAGAATAAACTTAGCATCAGATTCGCATTGAAAAGTGACTTTAACCATTCGAGGGTATTTATTGTTATATTTTTAAATTATTTTAACATGTTCTTTGGATTTTGTTTTGAGACAATTGAGTAAAATACCCAGCAAGTATTTTGTTAAATAATAATAAAAAAATCCTACGTAGCGTTTCCGCAATTTGAAAAGATGTTAACAGGTAGGAAGGTCATTCTAGGCGGGAAATCCCCTGGCGACACATCAGCGAATCCGGATGACACGGAGGACGGTCCTACGACCATCAGGAAGAGCAGGAGACATACGCAAAATACGCATGCGATTCTGTCACTTCTTCGGCGTCAACGCCGGTTACTCTTGACACTTGTTTGCCGATAGCGAAGAGCGGCAGCTTGCCACCGCTGTTAGAAAAAATACAAGAGGTGTCCACAAGAAGTTTCTGGATGGGCCAGGTTGATTCGAGCTTTTCTCTTATTATTACTTTGTGGCGTTAGCGAGCGATGCCCAAGATACTCTGGATGCACTGGTAAGTTTTTACATTCATTATTTTAAAAATTTCCATTTTTTTTAATTAAAAGAAAAAAGAAATCGTCGGAATATTTTTTTATGTATATTCTTTTTTGTTAGAAAGGAATTACCATATAAATTTGGTTAAAAATTTGATGATGTGATCTATGAAAAAATCATCAAATTCTCCACTTTTGGAGAAAATTTTTGAAAATTACTCTCATTTATTACAATGTTTCTGAGTTTCGGTATGGCCATTTTGAAGTCAACAGAATATCTAGTGTAAAACTGTTAACTTAAATAATAAAATATTAATATTAAAACAAGTTTAAATATTTGTCAGGATTTGAATGATTTATTAATTTATTTATTGAACATTTCAACAGGCTTTACATATTTATTACAGAAATATTAATAGTTATACGTTTACATATTATAAGATGTGTCCCTGGATGGAATGAAAAAGACTTTTTTATGGTCACATTTTAGAAAAAAAAAAATTCTTTATGAGTTTTTGCTGAGTGGTTTTCATGTTGAATAATGTAAAAAATCAAATACTTTATTTTGTTTTGTATTATTTCATGTTAAAAAATATAAAATAAGTACAAAATTTTGTTTTCTCATTATTTATAAATCAAAACATTATTTCGCTAAAGCAAAGAGATATTTAACTTCTATTTGAATTATTATTATTTTTGAAACAAGCAGAAACTTTTATGAAGAATAACATTTTTCTAAAAATTGAAAATAAAAAAATGTTCAGTTCATCGGGACACAATCTACATTCACTTTGTTTTTGTTTAGAAAGGAAAAAATATAAACATAATAAAAATATTAAAAACAAAAATGTTAAAATTAATAAAAATGTAAAACTAAGAATTTTATAAAAATTGCTCACTTTATATGCCATAATTACCTTTTAATATCATTAGTATTAAAAAAATTAGCTAGTTCAAACATGGCTTCCAAAGAAAAACGACGACTCATTTTAATTTGGAATTTGGATAAGTATGTCATTGCGTTCAACTAAACGAATATATTGCATATCCATTCTACCTAGTAAGAACACTGCAAAATAGTAGTTTGTGCAACAAGAGTCATGCGATATGGCCATCATATCGGCCATATCGCACGAAAACGAAATTTGAGCACGACGCCGTAGGCGGAGGGCTCAATCGTCTGAGTGCGATGTAGACAATCTACTGTAGTTGCACAGTATATTTTTTCTACGACCCACAAATAAAAAAAATATTTTAGGTTATCAAGACAAAATAACTAATTTTAAAACTTTTACGATTTTGGTTTTAATTCTGCTAATTCAAATAGTTTCATATAGTTTGATTAAAATTTATTTTTTTTTTTCAAAATATGATTAAAATAAAAATAGAAATGCTATTATTTAGGATTATTTATCGATTCTTCACAAAAATAACTCATTTTAATCTATATTTAATTTTAATAATTAGTTTGACACTTATTTAAAATTTAAAAAATAATAGTAGTTAGGTGTCCAAAATATGAACTGTGATTGGTTTATTACATTTTTTTGCAGTGTTCTCACTACCTAGAATGGATATGAAATATATTCGTTCAGTTGAACGCAATGACATACTTTTTCGTTTTGTAGTCTGTGCGTAGATAAGCTAATATCCATATGGGTGTAGAAAATAGTAATTTGTACAAAAAGAGTGAATATGATGGCCATATTGCACGAAGCCGAAATTTGAGTTTGAGTGCGATATGGACAATCTACTCTAGTTGTACAGTATATTTTCTCTACGAACCACTAACAAAAATCTACAAATTTAAAAAAATATTTTAGGTTATTAAGAAAAAGTAATTAATTTTATGTCTTTTACTAATTTATAAAATAAAATAAACATGAAAAAAATTAATCCTCAGCCCAGAGTCGAACCCGGGATATTCGCGTGGAAGGTAGATGCTCTGTCCTCAGCTCCACCGTCATTTTTTTCAAAATGTGGACCAAATAAAGATAAAAATGCTATTATTTATCGATTCTACACAAAAATAATTCATTTTAATGTATATTTAAGCCCACTAAAAAATATACTGACAGAATTGTCACTTATTTAAAATTTTAAAAATAATACTAGTTGGGTGTCCAAAATATGAACTGTGGATTTAATTTTTTTGCAGTGTTCTCACTACCTAGAATGGATATGAAATATATTCGTTTAGTTGAACGCAATAGCATACTTTTTCGTTTTGTAATATGTGCCTAGATAAGCTAATATCCATGTGGGTGTAGAAAAACTACTATTTTCCTTACAGGAGTAAAATCAATTCCGAAATAAAGATTTTTTCAATATGTTTTATCACTTATTACGTTTTTTGTCAATAAGTAGATATTTTTTTAGTGTAATAAAATCGTATCTATACCAAACAATAGTATTTTAATTTTAAGTAGGTGAAAACTCGTATGTCCAACTTTAGGTCTCATTTTCTCCAAATCTATAAGATTGGAGACAAGAGTCTTTACTTTTATTGAATTAACTTATTTTTCTTCCCGTTTTAACTTTTTTACATAATATAATTTTTTATTAGCTTTATCTTTATGGGTCTTAGGTTTTCTAGGATTTACATAAAGCTCTTTGACATTTTCTATAAGAAGCTTTTAACACTTTTTGAAAGTTTAGTATATTTTGAACATTTTTTACACTTTTGATATATTTGTCAATTTCTAATAGTGTTAATTTTATTTAGTTTTAATTTGGTTACAATGTTTCTAAGTTTGATATTGCCATTGTAAAGTCCACAAAAGAATATCTAGGGTAAAAGTGTTATCTTAAATCTAAATTAAGGAAGCAGCAAAATGTTTTAGTAAAGCATTAAATTATTAAAGCAAGTTTAAATATTTGTAAAGATGTTAATAATTTTATTTTGAATAAAAATATCACTATTTCTAGAATAAATAATTAGATTAATAACAAATACTGAATTTTCTATACTTTTGTTTCGTTTTCCTACGACTTTATCCATGTTTTACTTTTTAAGACATTTATTTTTATTATTTCGTATTTCTATAGGTTTCCAGAATATTTTTATTACCTTTTTATTTTGTTAGAATTTACATAGAGCTTTTTAGTATATTCTAAAAGAAGCTTTTAACACTTTCTTCGACAGTTTCTCTTTTTTTTGACAATTTTCACTCTCGATGCCATTTTCAATTCTTATTCATATTCTGGCGAAGAGGTATTTTACTTGATTCAATGAAAAAGTTTTTGTCAAAAATTTAAAATTAATTTGTTTGTCTAAAAACGCTTAACCTGCTCTAATAAAACAATGTCGTCCGTAAGAGATCGAAATGCCATGCATAAATTTTAGAATGAATGTTTATAAACAATAAATAAAAGTGGTCTAAGGACGGCACCTTGTGGTATTCCAATTTATACTTTTAAAGCATCAATGGGGACGTTATTAACTTTCTTCCCCATAACTCAAGTAGATTTTAAATATTATTATATAGGAAAATAATTGTAGTTTTTGTTGACAATATTCTGCATTTGCAGAATTTTGTATTAATACCATACTAATGAAACAAACCAGTGATTCCACAGTAAAAGTGAATAATTTTAAATCGGTTCCATTTTGTTACAAAAATTAAGAAACACTGGTTTAGTGAGACTGAGTTTTGGAAATTAAAGCAATTTAAGCTTAGATTAGACAAAGTTAAAGCCGTCATTTTTATCCATATTTGGTCTAACGATATATGCAATATGTATGCTGTGATTTGAAATAACAGAGGTTTCCCTTTTAGTATTGTAAATCTTAGTGTCTAACTTTAACTTATGGCATGACAAATGGCCTCCATAAATGGTAACCCCGATGAAAATTCCGATTAGAATGTACTGACAGACTCACACAAAATTTCAAAAACTTGTCAAAAATAATTAAGTGAAGCTTTTAGTAATGACAAAGTATTTTATATCACAGCATATATCAATGATGTAAATTTTATTGACTTAACTAACTTAAAATATTTAGCTTAACGACATACGTAAGGTTTCAATTTTTATTGCAAATCATATATCAACTAACTTATAGTGGCCGTTATTAGTGACTTTTATGACAACTTAAATATCAGTTCGATCAAATAGGTCAGCGATATTGTTTTATTTCCTTTAAATCAAACTTTGCCCAATTAAAAATATCTTGTTCTCTTAAATGTATTTTTATTTTTGTATTACATGAGTACATTTTAATACATTATTAAGAGAAAAATCAGATCAATTGTCCTCGTTAAAATTTACAAAGAATTCCGCATTCAAAAATCTAAAGGAATGTTGCTGTTTTTTAAGCGTTTGTTTAATTTACCTACTTTGTCTACTCCCCCGCATCCGGTAAATTAAAAGTTTAAAAAGAATATTTAGAACAACATCACTAATGATACGGTACTGGAAACATAATAGTGGCACTTACTATATACACAGAACGTCTTAAGATATGTTTTTAAAAAAATGCAATTTAGGAAAAAAATTGTACCAATTTTATTTCGCAGAATCTTTTTAAATAAGTATTTTGAAACTGATAAAGGGTTTTTAAAAATAATTTTATTGATTAAAATAACATACGTCTTTACTCAACAAAAGCTGGACAAAATCTACCTAATAAAACAAGGAAATCAATATAAAAATATTAAAAGTACAAGCCAATCATTGAAATAAAATATGATAAGAATAATAATAATAATAAAATGTCGGCTGTACGTACTCATGACGTAACTCTTTGACATTTTTTTAATTTAGACACAATAAAATCTATTGCAAACACTTATGTGACTAACGAAACAATATTTTCTTGATTAATCTTCCATTTTGTTGGCTTATGATTACAAAGCGTATATTTAAACTACCTTGATATTAAAGTGTTTCCTTCATTACTAAAGCAAAGAAATTTGATCCCCTTATTGGCCCATTTACTTGTGCCCCTACCACATTCACCACCTATGCTTGCCCACAGTCTTGTTCCCTACTTGTTACCTAAACTAAGGACTGCCTA